ATGACCCGGAAGCTGTCTGCAGACAAACGCCGGCTCCCTCGGCCAATAAAGCAAGATGAGCGGCGCAACCCCAGAGTCAGTCATGACTGGACCTAATGGTCAGGGGTCCCTTTACCTTTACCTTTACTGTTGGGGCAGAGTATAACCATCATGGCCAAGAACCCTCTGTGATTTTGTTCAATCCTCTTTTAAAGCCCTCTAGGTTGGTGGCCATTGGTGTGTCCTGTGGAAGTGAGTTCCACAGTTCAACTATGTGCTGTGTAAAGAAGTACAGGAGCGTTGTGAGATCTTGCGATCGCAGTGAGGCACTTTTGGCTGGGATCATGCTAGTCCCAGGTTGGTTCCTGCTGTTTCAGATTTTGCTAAGATCTCATCATGCTGTTTCTTGGAGGTTTCCTCCTCACACAAGATCGAATGGGCTAGGGTTTTCCCTTTTTAAAATGCAGCTAGGTCTCTGTAAGGCAGCAGTTCTCAACCTGTGGGTCTCCAGATGTTGTTGGACTACAACTCCCATTATCCCTGGGCTCTGGCCTTCCTAGCTAGGGGTGATGGGAGTTGTAGTCCAACAACATCTGGGGAACCGCAGGTTGAGAAAGGCTGCAGTAAGGTAAAAGATAGAGGTAAAAGACCCCTGGACGGTTAAGTCCAGTCAAAGGCGACTATGGGTTTTTGGCGCTCATCTCACTTTCAGGCCAAGGGAGCCGGCATTTGTCCACAGACAACTTTCCGTGTCATGTGGCCAGCAGGACTAAACCACTTCTGGCGCAACAGAACACTGTGACAGAAGCCAGAGCGCACGGAAACGCCGTTTACCTTCCCGCCGTAGCGGTACCTATTTATCTACTTGCACTGGTGTGCTTTCGAACTGCTAGGTTGGCAGGAGCTGGGACAGAGCAACAGGAGCTCACTCCATCATGGGGATTTGAACTGCCGACCTTCTGATCAGCAAACCCAAGAGGCTCAGTGGTTTAGACCACAGCGCCACCCGCATCCCTAGGTCTCTGTGTGCATACTATTTAGCATGAGTGTCAAGGGAGATGTTTACATAGCACTTTGTTCATTCCGTTGAGCATGGCTGACCCAACTTCATTCCAGGCCACTTCTCTGGCCATGGTACCAGCTTGGTGAGACTGAGAAAAAGAGAGAAAGTCTTGAAGTTGTGCCAGTAAGTTGATGCTTCCTTAGCACCTTGCTCTGAAGCATGCACCATACCTCCTGCCTTGAGTGATGCTGTTCAACATTCCATGTCTCTCTTCTTTCCAAATTCTCTGGAGCAGTTCATATATCATGGCACAGGTAAAGGCAGCCAGTGTGTTGGCCCCAGGTTTGGGGATAAAATCATACAGTCGTACTTTGGAAGCTGAATGGAATCCATTCTGGAAGTCCGTTCAACTTCTGAAACGTTTGGAAACCAAAGCACAGCTTCTGATTGGCTTCAGGAAGCTCCTGCAGCCAATCAGAAGCCCTGTCAGACGTTCGGCTTCCAAAAGAACGTTCAAAAACCGGAACACTCACTTCCGGTTTTCGATCAATCGGGAGCCTATTTGTTCAGGAGCCAAGGCATTCAGGATCCAAGGTGCGACTGTATAATCATAGACTTGCAGAATTGGATTATCTTGTTCAACCCCCTGCAATGCAGGAATCTCAAGGATCCATGACAGAGGACCACCCAACCTCTGCTGGAAAAGCTCCTATGAAAGAGACCCCACCATCTCCCGAGGGAGTCTATTCCACTGACTGACAACTCTCCGTGTCAGAAACTTCTTGATCTTTAGCCGGAATCTCCTTTCTTGTAACTCTTTTAAAGCCGTCCAAGTTGCCTCCCCCAGCAGTGAGTTCCATAGTTTGACAAAACACCGCATGGATAAGTACCGTATTTTTTGCTCTATAAGACACACCAGACCATAAGACGCACCTAGTTTTTGGCAGAGGAAAACAAGGAAAAAAAAATTCTGAATCCCAGAAGCCAGGACAGCCAGCGGGATTGCAGCGCAGTGATCCTGCTGGCTGTCCTGGCTTATGGGATAGCCATGAGCAGCCTCCCTGAGCAGGGGAGGCTGTGCGCGACTAAGCCTTCATCCCCTGCCTGGGAGAGGCTGCACACAGCAACGGCTCGCCCAAGAGCCGCGCTCCCTTTAAAGAGCACGTGGAGCATGTGGGTGGCTCTTGGGGGCTTTTCCCCAAGGAGGGAGAAGGGCAGCTCTTCTCCCTCCTTGGGGAAAAGCCCCCAAGAGCCGCACACACGCTCCACGTGGCTCTTTAAAGGGAGCGCTGAGCAGAGCCTCCATAAGACACACACACACTTCCCCTTACTTTTTAGCACGGGAAAAGTGCGTCTCATAGAGCAAAAAATGTGGTACTTTTTATTGGGGATCTTGTAGCCAGGGGCGGAGGAAGGGGGTGTGGGGTGTGTGGGCTGCCCTGGATGTTGCCAATGAGGGGGTGACAAACTGCCGGGCAGCACTCAACGCGGGGCCTGCACCACGTCCGAGCCACGCGTCTCTCCTGGGAGTGACGCAGTGGCTTGGGTGCCCGTAGGCTCCGCGCTGCCCCAAACGGTCCGCTCGCTGCCTCCCCCCAGCTGTAGGGTGGCTGAGGGGGAGGAGGCAGGCAGACTCCTCGGAGGCCCCATGGAGCAGCCTGCCCCAACTTGCCCCAACCCCACGGGCAGCTGGCCCCGCCCCCATGGATATCTGGCTCCGCCCCTGGGCGCAGGGCATGGGCTCCGCCCCAGGCGCCCGATTGACTTTCTCCGCCGCTTCTTGTATCAGGGGATCTCCTCCATCAGCTGGTGTTTAAACTGGGGGAAGTCTTCTCCATCTATGAAATAAATAAGCAACCCAATGTTCTCTCATCTCATCCAGCGCAACCTGGATGGTCACTGAACGCTGCCGAAGCTGAAATTTCAATGGAAGTTGGGAGGACACTTTCAGGGAAGAACTTTTAAGATTCACAGGGTGTGTGTGTGGATTCTATACCTCTTTGCTAGTGAATGCCCAGAAAACCTCAATGCAGCCCTCTTAATCCTCCCATTAACAATGGTTTCCTGAAGGTACATGGGGCATCAGTTTTGAGAAGTGGAGTTAGACATGGGTTTGGTAAGTGCCTGGGAGCCTGACGGTGCAAGGCCGTATGTGTCTACTGCAAAGCAAGCTTCATTGAGTTCACTGGGACTTGCTCCCAGGTAGGTATAGGATTGCAAGCCTAAGCCATTCTATAATTAGAAAGGTAAGGAGAAATAACAACAACAACAACAATTTATTTATTATAGCCCGCCCATCTGGCTGGGTTTCCCCAGCCACTCTGGGCGGCTCCCAACAGAATACTAAAAACACGATAAAACATCAAGCATTAAAAACTTCCCTACATAGGGCTGCCTTCAGATGTCTTCTAAAAGTCCGATAGTTGTTTATTTCTTTGACATCTGATGGGAGGGCATTCCACAGGGCGGGCGCCACTTCCGAGAAGGCCCACTGCCTGGTTTCCTGTAACCTCACTTCTCACAGTGAGGGAACCACCAGAAGGCCCTCGGAGCTGGACCTCAGTGTCCGGGCAGAACGATGGGGGTGGAGACACTCCTTTGGGTACACTGGGCCGAGGCCGTTTAGGGCTTTAAAGGTCAGCACCAACGCTTTGAATTGTGCTCAGAAACATACATATACATGTACATATACAAGGTTAGAGTTGTCATCAACTTTTCTCCTTGAGATAATTTTTGAGATGATCTCGAAGGGTTCTGCTCCAGCTATGTGAGGAATTTGAAGGAATGAGTTTGGCTAAAGCTAGCACAGCTTCATAGAAAGTTTCATACATAGTGAGGCATGAGGAAAAATACAATTCCGTTCTCATCCGAAGGCAATTCTATCCTATTTGTACATTCTAAAACAATGTGAGGAAGAACACCATCCATCGGAATTCATACTTGACTGAATTTTGCAATGCAGTTCTCTCAGCAAAGAATGGTTGCCAAAGAATAAATAAAAAATTCGACACTTTGTGTATTCTCTAAGTCGTGTTTATTTTATTAAGGGAAAGTGTGCTTGAAAAGCAAGCATATTTGGGACAACAATGTACCATAAAAGTCTGATATTAGAGGGAAATGCTGCCAAAAAAATCTGTGTCAATCATTACTGCATGCAAACATGTATGGATTAGGAGAAATGAACACAAGAAATGATGGTGAATTTTCATGAGGATTTTGAAATGTGTGTGTGTGTGTATCTGGGAGACCAGGACTCAACCATAAAACTCATTGGGTGACCTTCGGTCAGTCACTGCCCTTCAGTCTAACCTACCTTAAATGGTCGTTGTGGGGATTAAATGAGGCAGGAGAGAACCACGAATGCCCCCTCAAGCTCCTTGGGGAAACCGGTGGGATATACATGCGACAAACAACAAGAGCAACAACATATCCAAACTTGGGGCAGAACTGAATTTAAGGCTGGGAAAATGAGAAACGGAGGGGACCAAAATTTGCAGATGCTTCCATCCCTAGTTGGGATCGGAAGCTAATCGTAACAACCTTTTTTGAATAAACGAAGCAGGCACTGCCAAGTCTGTTTGCAGCTCTTTAGCATAAGTAAAACCACTTACCTTGGAAACTGCGTAACCCAAATTTTAGAAAGACCTCAGTCCCCATAGAGCGCAATGGACTCCTATAACCCTTATGGTTGATAACAGGTGGGGGATGTGAAATTGATTTTTCCACTCCCTTTTATTGCAGCAATTAAACTTTTCTTCTTAGTATTCAATTTGCTATCCCTCCTTGTTCACCAAAGGGGAGAATAAATAGCCCCTGAGCATGTAAAGAGACCCAGTTAGTTCAGAGAGAAAGGCAGGGAAAGAGGGATGGAAGGGGAGAGAGATTCAGAAGCCTGGTAAGAGCTTTCGCTCAGGTCTGCCTCCCTCGCTATCTGGAGAGCGCAGCGAAGATCTTAGCAGCTCTGCAGACAAACCCTCCCCACGGCTCTTGCAGTGAGAATGCCTTTAAAAAGCACTTGGGAACAAGAACGCAGCAGAGTTTGTGAAGGAAGGCAGAGAAGTTGCCTGGGCGGAGGAAGCTGGTGGAGGAAGGAGGGAGGGGGGAAGAAACAAATTGGCAGGCAACTCGTGGTGCCTTGCATCCGTACCAGAGGCAGCATCAATTGTCAGTGTTCCTTTCCTCCCTTTGTACAACACCCCTTTCCCTCCTACAGACCACCCAAAGCCCTATAAATAACCGGAGCGCTCTCTTCCTCCCTCAGACTCCTCTCTCTTCAGCAAGGAAGCCTGCGAGCTAGAAGGCAAGAGGGAACAGGGCAGAGATGGCCAGCGAATTCAAGAAGAAAAAGTTCTGGAGGGCGGTGGTGGCTGAGTTCTTCGCCATGAGCCTCTTCATCTTCATCAGCATCGGCGCGGCGCTGGGCATCAACTTCCCCATCCCCAGCGCCAACGACACTGTGCCGCGGGTCCAAGACAACGTGAAAGTCTCCCTGGCTTTCGGGATCTCTATCGCCACCATGGCCCAAAGCGTGGGGCACATCAGCGGCTGTCACCTGAACCCGGCCGTGACTCTGGGCCTCCTGCTCAGCTGCCAGATCAGCATCTTGAGGGCCGTCATGTACATTATCGCCCAGTGCTTGGGGGCAGTCGTGGCCACAGCCATCCTTTCCGGGATCACGTCCGGGCTGGCGGACAACTCATTGGGGCTCAATGCGGTAAGGCGACCCATCCCAGACTTCCTTCTCTGCTCCTCCTCTGTACCTGTACCTGTCTGCGGGTTAAGGCTCCAGAAAACCACAAAAGGAGATTTGCTCTACTCAACTGCCTTGGGGGACAGGTTATAAAGACATAGCAGAAATTGATAACTGAACAGGTGATGTGTAGGGAGAAGGGATGGAGTTTTGAAATGAAAGTTGGAGATCTTATTGTACTTAGGAACAGCAAAGGAAGGAGGAAAAATAGAAGGATCAACCGGGGGGTGGGTGGGAAGTCAGCTTTTAAAATTGCATAAAATTTGTACTAATTTGGTCACAGTTTGTTAAAAAACGATGAGAAATCAATTTTAAAAACTGGCAAAAAAAAACCCCTCAAGAAAACCAATAGCCTCAAAAGGCCAGATGTTTGACCACTGGTTTCCAGAGCCACTTGTTAAAAGGGTGTGGAGGTTGCTGGGTCTCTTTCCAGGGATGTTGGAGTCGTAAGGTGGCAAAGGTAGCAGATGTTCCAGAAGGTGGCCAGCTTTTATTTTCATTGGTCCAGCAGGGCCCTTTCACTTCTACCCACTCTGCAACAGGACAGGGTTCGGCAGGTGCCGTGCGTTCTGGCTAGATGCAAAGGGAGGCGAATGGGTTTTGCAGAACGAAGGCATCTGGGGAGAAGCAGCTGACAAATTCTCTCTTTTTTAGGAAGGTTCCAAGCTTGGCAGTTCTGCTGGCTGTCTCTGTGGCTGGTCACACTGGGTGGGAATTTCCACACACAGCTGTGAATGGCCAAAGAGCCCTGCCAGAAGAACGTTGACAATCCCATTAAGATTCTTTCTTTCTTTCTTTCTTTCTTTCTTTCTTTCTTTCTTTCTTTCTTTCTCTCTCTCTCTCTCTCTCTCTCTCTCTCTCTCACTCACACACACACACACACACACACACACACACAAGCTATGGAGACAAATGTAATGGGAGTGTCAGATGGGATGGATGCAAAATGAGAGTTCCCCTTGAAGACCATATTACGGGTGTTCAGGATTTCCACGGTTTTTCTTGGAAATAGCTTCCTGGCAGGTAGAAATTTCAGCTGCTGGTGGTAACCAATTCCCCATCTCAGCATTTCATCCCAGGGTGAAAAAACCACACCTGTTGATTTTCTGCCTGGCAGCTGCTATTCTGAAAAGCACAGGAACTGGGAGACACCTGCTCGTTTCAGTCTGGCTGAAACCCCTTAGGCGTTGCTTCGCGTGGGCTTTGACCGAATGGATTTACTGGTGAAAAGCACTAACTCCTGGAGAGCTAAGGATTCAACCCTAACCTTTGCCACCACATGCATATCTTGTAATCGTCAGCAACTGTGTATTTCTTATCCTTTTCTCTGGTTGCTTACTACGGTGGAGGTATTCAGTGTCACCAAAGCCATTGTAGGGCTGTCCAGTGTTGAGTTCGAGTCGGCTGAAGTATCTTTAAGAGTGGCACCGAAGGGAGAATTCTGCCAGAGGCACCCTTTTCCTTACCCAGAACAGTAACAGCAGTGGCTGGTTCCTCCGGTCCTATGCTGCCAAGTTTCCACAAGTGGGAGCTGCAACAGAAAGTTGCAGTATATCCTTAACCCCTAACAGGACTGCTCCTAATCAGAGTCCCAGTCATACCTTTCCATTGTTAGGGGCTAAAGCCAATTCACTCTACCTTCTTGGCTTCCCGTCGCTCTTTTCCAACTCAGCAGTTCTTGACTTTTGGTGATCCCTGAGCATGTCAAATCTTCATTAGCCTTGCTTTTGTTGTGGGGGGAGAGTTGGCCTCTTTCCATGTTTTCGTTTTATTCTTTAAAAGATCACCTGCCCTTTTGCAAACCTTGAGGCTCCTCTGAGCGTGCTTCTCTCTGGTTTGGCTCTAGTTTTGCTGGCACTCAAAACAGGTGATCAACATTGGAGGAAGCAGTGGGTTTGGTCCTGGGGTACATGGGGTACATGCCTACATAATACCTGTACTCCACACCTGCAGAGGCATTTGAGCACTGAGCCCAGGTATATCCTGCTCTTTGCTGACTGAAGGAGAACCACAGGAACATTGGCATTCGTTGGAGGCAATCTGACTGGTCATGCGCTACCCCCTGCGCGTGGTAAGAAGGGATAACTGCTACAGTTGTCTCTTGAGAGCTGACCCATCTCTCAAAATAGATAGGGCTCGTCTCCTAGAACAGGGAAACTGATGCCCTCTAGATGTTGCCGGACAACAACTCCCATCATCCCTGACCGTTGACCATGTTGGCTGGGACTGCTGGCAGTTACAGTCCAACAATATCTGTAGGGTCACAGGTTCCTATACCCACCCTGGATTCGGGGACAGCCATCTCCAATTTGGCATCCTCCGCTGTTGTTGGAACCTCCCAGCCAGCATGGTCAATGGACATACTCAGATCGATATTGGACCACAACTCCCATGGTCAATGGACAAGGACCATGGGAGTTGTAGTCCAATGTCGATCTGAGTGCAGCAGGCTGGGGGAGAGACTGTTCTAGGACCGGAAACTCAGTTAAGAGCTGCTTCTTCCATTAATACTTGTGGGAGGTGTGGGGTGGAAGGCAACATTCAACCACCATGGGGGGGGGGGGGCAGCTGAAAGAAGGAGGGGGTCCCGCCCATGTCCCGAAGCTGCTTTTTCCAGAGGCCCAGAGTCATAGTAACTGGGACGCGGGTGGCGCTGTGGGTTAAACCACAGAGCCTAGGACTTGCCAATCAGAAGGTCGGTGGTTCGAATCCCCGCGACGGGGTGAGCTCCCGTTGCTTGGTCCCTGCTCCTGCCAATCTAGCAGTTTGAAAGCACAAAGTGCAAGTAGATAAATAGGTACCACTCCAGCGGGAAGGTAAACAGTATTTCCGTGCGCTGCTCTGGTTCGCCAGAAGCGGCTTAGTCATGCTGGCCACATGACCCGGAAGCTGTACGCCGGCTGCCTGGGCCAATAAAGCGAGATGAGCGCCGCAACCCCAGAGTCGGCCATGACTGGACCTATCGTCAGCGGTCCCTTTACCTTTACCTTTAGAGTCATAGCATGTTGTCTGCATCTCCACCGTGGGCCAAAAATCAGCTGGAGGGGGGGGACCTTAAGCTGAAAAAGGACAAGGGGGAGGGTTAAAGACCCTCTCCCTAGTCACTCAGCCACCTTTCACTAAGCTGCAACTTGCCTTGGAATGTTGTGTGTTAAAAGAGAGAGAGAGAGAGAGAGAGAGACCTACAGAGAGTATCGCCCAACTCCACTTAAACATGCCCTTTGGAGCCTTAGAGAGCTCTCCAGAAAATTGCAGCGTCTGGTCGCCCCAGCCGCCTCCCTCCCACCAGCTGGCTTCCATCCAGCGCACCAGCGGAGCAGTACTTCATTCAACTTGTTTTTATTATTGCTTGTTAGCTGCCCTGAGCCCAGCCTTGGCTAGGGAGGGCGGGGTATAAATAAAAAATATTATTATTATTATTATTACTGCTCCAGACCTTTTAAACATTTACTCTGCCTTAAACAAGCCCCCTCCTTCTCCGCAGCTGCTGCAGACGGGCTCATAGGTTTCGAGGGAGGGCTGTCAGAAATTGTGGTGGGGGCGCGAGGGTGTGTGGAAGGAGCCTGCCCCTCGTAGGAGGCGTTCAGCAAGGCTAGGGGATGTCGATGGGCTACAACTAAGTATGGACACCCCCCTGAGGTCCTTAGAGAGAAAGGCGGGATATAAATGCAAATGACAACAATGACAATCATAATATTAATTTCAGTTCCATTCGTTGTTCCTAGCCTTAAGTTTGGTTTACCACTTTTCTATATTGCTTTGTCCTTTGTTCAAAACAAAACCGAAGCGCTCATGGAAATTTGCCAGCGTTTTAGTGAGCATTCCTCCTAATCTACACATTTTTGCACCCCCCCTAAATTTAATGCATTTTTGTATGTGATTTTCACCAAATACACGCATCTTCATGAACGTGTCTTTCCAATAAGTGCATTTTCTTGCACGTATTTTTGTTGTTGGGGGAAGTGCATTGCAAAATTCAGAGAAGGGAAAATTTCGGACAGCTGAGTCTCATTTTGGGCATTGCTATTGGAAAGTGCGAATTTAAATACCACACTGAATTTCTTCCCCATCCTCGTCTACTTTTTTAAAAAAATAAAAAGGCACATTAATTGTTTCCACACAATTAATGTGAAGTGCAGTTTGACCCTGAAACCCTGGAAAACACCCACCTGTCAGTTAGAACAGGCAACACCTAGAATTTTGATCCATCTGCTGCTTTTATTCATTCTTTATTGTCAGTTTTCTAAAAGTAGTTTTCTCTTGCAAGCCAAGTTGGAAAAACAAAGGGCCGGCCAGCAAATTGTATAAGTAAATCAGCAAATAAATTAGCGGAACGACCGCCTGACTCAATAGAAGGTAACCACAAATGTCCATGATGAATCAGAAAGAGTTTCAGCCAACGCCCAGGAACATAGGAAGCTATGTTATAATGAGTCAGCTCAGTAGAGTCTACACTGGCTGGCAGGAGCTCTCTGGGATTTAAGATGGGGAGCCCCCACCCAGCCCTACCTTGAAATACCAGGAACTGAACCCAGAACCTTCTACTTGCAAACCACAGAGCCACAGCCTGCAGTGAGCCATACTGGTGAGATCAGAAAAGCTTCTGGTCTTATCAACAGTTGTTTTGCTTTCCTCAGAATCGCACAGGCTTTTATCCTAAGGAGGAAATTAATCTTCACTGATTCTTTTGCTTTGGGCGCAATGAGGGGTGAGCTCTAAGGCCTTATCAGCTGTGGCTGAGAGATCTTCTTCATCAGGCTCTTTGTGGCTTAGGGCCCTTGTACTTATGGGACCACCTCTCCTGGTATGCCCCACAGAGAAGTTCATGAATAATCATAGTTTAGAGGTCCCGGGCCCTAAGGAAGTTAGATTATCCTCCAGCAGGGCCAGGGCCTTCTCAGTGATGGCTCTGACCTGGTGGAACGCTCTGTCCCATGAGACCAGGGCCCTGCAGGATTTAACTTCCTTCCGCAGGGCCTGTAAAACAGAGCTATTCCGCCTGGCTTTCAATTTGAACCTGGCCTGATCTTTTATTCCCCTTCCTTCCCTCCCCTCCCTTTTTTCAAAAGATTACCCGCTCTGGGATCCCACAGCTGGTTCTCCCCTGGTCTCCTCACTGGCCCAAGTGGGACTAATTTAGCCAGCTAGCCCTGGTGATCATCTAATGTTTATTGGATGGATTTCCCCCCTAAGTTGATTTTTGATTTTATTGTTATTTATGCTTTATACCGTATTTTATGCTGGTTTTTTTTTTTTTTTTTTGGTGGCATCAATTTGTTGTTAGCCACCCTGAGCCCGGTTTCCTGAACTGGGAAGGGTGGGGTATAAATTATTATTATTATTATTATTATTATTATTAGCCCTAAACTCTCAACAAGACCTCTGGTGCTGGTGAAAGACTTTACAGGGGTGTCAACTTGACTAAAATATGGGGGGGGGGCAGGTAAACCTCACCCCACATAATCGATCCCATGATGTGATGCACACACACTATTTGAATGGCAATGGCCATCTTTTGGGGGGCGGCGGTGAAGGGACCTCAGCCCCTAGGAGTTGGCTCCTACAAGTCTTTTCAACACCCAAACAACAGCCTGGGACCACAACATAGGTTAAAAAGTTGTAGCGTCATATCCCCGCTGGGCCCCAATCCAGTTTACATCTCACCTTGAGCCCCCTCCTCGCTGAATCCCCACAACACCTTGTGAGGTAGGCTAGGTCCTAGTCCAACGCTCTAACCACTACACTACACTGCTGCCCAAATATGAAAGCCTGCTTACTTTGAAGCAGACCCCGCTGAAATGACAAGCTGAGCTGCCGTGTAGGGCGGGGTGAATCTGTCAACTGGACTTCAACTCCCATCACCCTTGACCATTGACCATGCTGGCAGGGGCTGATGGGAACTGTAGTTAGGGACAGGCAAATCTTTGGTTTCTCCTTTCCCCTGTCTTCAGTTCTCCATAGCCCCACATCAATTTACAACATTCCGTTTTAAGTCCCTGTGAAAATTCACAAGCATTTTAGTCCAGATCTTTCCTGATTATCTACTGCGTGCAATTCATTTTTTGCAAAGCAATTTCTCCTGACATTTCCCCTGTTCTGTGCATTTGTTATGCCTGCTCTCCCCCAGCACATTCACCTTTGTACATATTACTTGCCGGGGGTGGGGGGTTGCATTGAAAAATTCGGGGAAGCCTGAATTGATTCCCTCCCCCTCTTTCTTTTTTTCCTTTCTCCTTCTGTGATGGAACTCCTATTTGGGGACTTCCCTGGCTTTTTCTAGCCCACGTAGGACCAGTCTGGTGAAGGCTTGACATTTTCATCCCCCAAGAAGTTTTTGATTTGAGTTTCTACTGAAATGAGGCTGCATTTTAATGTTGTATTTGTTTTTTAAGTTGTATTTCAATCAATTGTTTTTATACCTGGTGTTAGCCGCCCTGAGCCCAGTCTTGGCTGGGAAGGGCGGGGTATAAATAAAATAATTATTATTATTATTATTATTATTATTATTATTATTATTATTTTATTAGTGAAGGATGGCTGTGTTTTGGTTTGTGTATTCCCCCCCAAAAAAGTGACAATTTAGGTAGGTTTGCCTTTAAATGTGATTCAAATCAATTTCCCTCCCCTCCCCTTCCCTCCTGCCACCCCCATTAACCTGAAACAGCTCAGAGTCAGTCTCTAAAACGGAGGCTTGCTCATTCTCTCCGAAACCACCGCTGTAGAACTGGCCCACGCAGCAAAAAAGAAGGTAAAGACCGTGCTGGTCGCGATGCCAAGGGATGCTGTGTCCTCCAGAAAACAGTTGGAGGAGCTGACAAGAGCTATTAAAGATGTGTGGTCTGGTTTCCAAGGGAGCACGGCTTCCCCAGAGTCGTCATAAAAAAACCCTCTGGTGTTCTGGGATTCCTCAGCTTGGAGACAGCTTTTCCCTTTCAGAAGAATCTTTATTTGCACCAGCCACTAGCCACAGCAATAAAATAAAATACAACGTACTGAAGACAGAGGTGAAAACTTAGCTATACAAAATACATTCTAGAGCAGGCACAGGCAAACTCGGCCCTCCAGATGTTTTGAGACTACAATTCCCATCATCCCTGACTACTGGTCCTGCTAGCTAGGGATCATGGAAGCTGTAGACCAAAAACATCTGGAGCAGGCTTCCTCAAACTCGGCCCTCCAGATGTTTTGAGACTACAATTCCCATCATCCCTGACCACAGGTCCTGTTCGCTAGGGATGATGGGAGTTGTAGTCCCAAACATATGGAGGGCCGAGTTTGCCTATGCCTGCTCTAGAGGTTTACATCAATAATCACATAATAGATACTATTCTAATTGCCCCTGCTAAAAAAATTGCAGATCTTGCTGTCACCTGATTATCTTGATCTGCCAGAAGTAAGTAGCAATGGTTGAGTGACCAGATATGGATAGTAATCGAGGGGTAATAACTCTGCAAATCTTTATAAAGAAGGCAAGCTAGAAGCCCATGAGCTACTGATTCAATACTGCCATCTCCACGTGGAAATAACCGTTTTTCCAGCAGGATTTTTTGAAATCGACCCTCAAGTACAGCTAAAAGGCAATACAGTGGTACCTCGGGTTACAGACGCTTCAGATTACAGACTCCACTAACCCAGAAATAGTACCTCGGGTTAAGAACTTTGCTTCAGGATGAGAACAGAAATCGTGTGGCGGCGGTGCAGCAGCAGCTGGAGGCCCCATTAGCTAAAGTGGAACCTCAGGCTAAGAACAGTTTCAGGTTAAGAACGGACCTCTGGAACGAATTAAGTACGTAACCAGAGGTACCACTGTGTATTTAATCTCGCGTAAGTCAGAGCGCGTCTGTATTTTGGAATGATTTAATTTTGCAAATAGCGTGCCGACGTGTCAAAATGACTAGGTGGGACATAATCATACCGTGGACCAAATGTCCTTATCGTGGCCAAATTATTCTGTCGCTCAGTATCATATAGGCGCTGTCTAATTAAATTATTTGCTTTACTGAAGGCCAGTGCTAATAATGGTTGTGGTGATAAACCAGAAAAGTAAAGCTTTCGGTTGACAGTTTTCGTCCAAGTGCTCTCGGGATAATCTTGCTAAGGGTAGTAGACCGGTGGGGTTTAAATTTAGCCGACGCCAATAATTAAATGTCCTACGCCAAATCTGTAATTCAACTGAGGGGACATTAGCCTCCAAGAGCAATGAACACAGGATGGAACAGGAAAATCTTTTCCTTAGGAATTTGATTGAACAGCTTCTGTAGACCCGGCACGGAGAAAGCTCCGGAAAAACAAGCGGTTGTGTGAAGAGGGTTCGTTTCTCCTGAATTTTCTGCTCCTTTATCATTTTGGTTTGATCTTCTTCTTGAGCGATGCAAACTGGGAGTCACGGCCGCCCGTGGGAGACAGGGCTGAAGCCAACTCAGGGAGCGAGAAAGGAACCAGAGTGAGGCAAATTCACAACAAGCGCTTAAACCACTCATGGCTCCCGACGAATAATTCTGTAAGCTACAGTTTGTTACAGGTGCTGGAGCTGTTAAGAGGCTGCTTATTCCCCTCAGAAAACTTCATTTCCCAGAGTTCCCCGTGAAGAGCGATTTATTGTTAAGTCGCTCTGGGAATTGTAGCCTTGTGAGGGGAATGGGAGGTCTCCTAACAGCAGCGGCGTAGCGTGGGTTGTCAGCACCCGGGGCAAGGCAAGTAATTTGCACCCCCTAACCCGGGGCAAGGCAAGTAATTTGCACCCCCTAACCCCTAACCTGCCGCCGCTGCCAGCTTCTTCTTGCTGCTGCCTGGTCTGGTCTGGTGTGGTTCTCTCCCGCGCTCAGCGCTGCGCTGGGCGGCCGCTGCACTGTCCCTCCCCCAGATAGTCCCTCGCTCTCTCTCCGCACCGCACGCCTGGCACCCACCCCTCCACAGTGGGCGGCGACCCAGCGGCTCGGATCGGATTCGCACAGCCAGCACTGCAGTGAGAGAGAGTGAGTGAGCCAGGTAGGGGCAGAGAGCTGCGAGTGCGAGCGCCCCCCCAGATGTTGCGTCCGGTGCGGCCGGCCCCCCCTGCACCTCCCACGCTACGCCACTGCCTATCAGTTCTCAGCACCCTTAAACCACAGCTATCAGAATTCTTTGGGGGAAGCCATGACTGTTTAAAGTGGGGTCATAGTGCTTTAAATGTAACATGTGAACATGGCCCGTGTGGACGAGGCCGTCCCTGGATAACTTTGTCGAGACTCATCATTTCCCAGATGTTTTCCCTCCAAATGTCACACGAGGTGAAAACCCAGGGGGCTGTAGGATAAATCCCTCCCTTTCCAGGTCCCATCGGCACCAAATATTTAAGACAGTCTCACACCACGTTAAGCAGGCCTGGCTCCCCCACAAAGTCTTCTGGGAACTGTAGTTTATTAAGGGCGCTGAGATCTGTCAGGAGACCCCAAATTCTCCTCAGGGAGCTACAGTTCCCAGAGCGGTTCGAAAACCAACCGCTCTTCCCAGGGACCTCGGGGAATGGTAGCTATGGCTACGGCTTCAAATGGTTTAGAAAGAACATCATAAAAATTGCAAATGTGACATGTTAAAACGACTGTAGGAGCTGAAACTCTGCTGGGTCTCAACAAAAATTACCCTACGCGTTTGCATTAGGGGAAGGGCAAAGGAATCTCTCCAACTGCATTATCCCCGCATGAAGGGACGGACAGAAGTGCTAAAAGTGGTTCTCCGGGGAGAGAAAATACCTGCCCAATTATCTCGTGGCATCAAGCTGTCAGCTCCTTACCTGAATATGAAAGGTCCAGCTTCCCCCACCCCCCAGTCGCCCAGCTGAGTTCCCCTACTCCATCCTCTCCCTCCCTCCTAGGTCTCTACAGACCTCCGCCTGCAATCCTGCAACCCACTCTATATTTATACGGTTTCGAACTATATTATTAACTGTCCCCGGAGCCTTAAAGTTTCCACAGACTTGCAAGAACTTAAAAATATAAGAACTGCTGGAGTGGATCTGGCCAAAATGAGCCAGCCAGATGTCTCGAGAAAATTCAAGGCAGGGAAAGATGTGGATATTGCCAAGTTTGTAGAATCTGCAAACATTTGGGCACTGGAGTTACAGTGTCTCTGAAAATGGAATTCCTATGTTTTAGCTCTTTCAACTTTTTTAAAAATGTTATACATTATGTAATATAATGTACTTTGAATTATACTTTTCTTTCCACCTCCTCCACCTCACAGAGGGATGCTTCTCTAAAAGCCTTAGCAACTAATGAACAGAAGCAATAAAGCCTTTGAATCTGTATAACCCGCTGCAACGAAATGTTGCAGCCTGAAGTGCTTCTGTTCAGGGTTCAAGCCACCCTATTCCATGCTTCCCTGGTTTTCTATTCTTTCAGCTCCACCCAACAGACACTCACCATTCTGTAGCCACTAAGCCACTCATATTTCATTGGCGTGTTTCTTTGTTTTTCCTGCAAAGCTTAGGATCCCTTAAACTTTCAGATCCCTTCGTCTTGTGCACGCAAGGCACTTCTTTTTGCTGCATAAGGATTCACACTCAGAGAACAGAGTTTAGTATTAGTATCTGTGATGGCTGATCTAGGGCATCTTAAAACATAAATGCATCCATTCATCCATGAACTCACGTCAACACTGGCTTGGAACAAATGAGTTTTGACATGCCTTTGAGAAACAGCTAAATGAGAGTTTCCGTCGATCATTCAAAGGAAGACATTTCAAAACCAAGGATGCCACCATCCAACAGATCTTGCCTCATTGGGAGGCTGTATACAGGATAGGATCTTTCCTAGGGATCACCATCTTCGGTGGGGAGTGGTCTTCTGGGAGAAGCATAAAGGTAAAGGGACCCCTGACCATTAGGTCCAGTTGTGACTGACTCTGGGGTTGCGGCACTCATCTCACTTTATTGGCCGAGGGAACCGGCGTACAGCTTCCGGGTCATGTGGCCAGAATGACTAAGCCACTTCTGGCAAATCAGAGCAGTGCACGGAAACGCCGTTTACCTTCCCGCCGGAGCGGGACTTGCACTTTGACGTGCTTTCGAACTGCTAGGTGGGCAGGAGCAGGGACCGAGCAACGGGAGCTCACCCCGTCACGGGGATTCGAACCGCCAGCCTTCTGATTGGCAAGTCCTAGGCTCTGTGGTTTAACCCACAGCGCCACCCGCATCCCTCTGAGATCTGTTAGAAGACCCCAAATTCTCCTCAGGGAGTTACAGTTCCCAGAGCGGTTCGAAAACCAACTGCTCTTCCCAGGGAGTGCAAATACTTTGATATGGGCAAGGTATATTATTATTATTATTATTATTATTATTATTATTATTATTATATTGTCTCCATTGCAGGCAATGAAGAAAACCTTATTAGGGAAAATGGGGTGCTGCCCTGCTAATCAGTGCTCTCAGCTAGCCTCCATCGGGCTCCCATCTTAGTTAGCGTTTCAGCAGCTGCAGGCCTTTACAGCATCCGATGCCAGTGAGTTCCATAAGTTAGGGTTGCCATATTTTGAAGAGGAAAAAAAGAGGACACATTTGCCAGCTCCTGCTTTTTAACTGTGGTGACTCTACCCGTGAAAAAAAGGACATGTCCTGGAAAAGAGGACATATGGCAACCCAACGAGGTTCTTGGTGCATGGTAGGACGTGGGGGGCGCTGTGGTCTAAACCACTGAGTCTCTTGGGCTTGCCGATTGGAAGGTTGGCGGTTCGAATCCCCACAATGGTGTGAGCACCCGTTGCTCTGTCCCAGCTCCTGCCAACCTAGCAGTTTGAAAGCACATCAGCACAAGTAGATAAATAGGTACCGCTGCGGAGGGAAGGTAAACGACGTTTCTGTGCGCTCTGGTTTCTGTCACGGTGTTCTGTTGTACCAGAAGCGGTTTAGTCCTGCTGGCCACATGACCCGGAAAGCTATCTGTGGACAAACGCTGGCTCCCTTGACCTGAAAGTGAGATGAGCGCTGCAACCCCATAGTTGCCTTTGACTGGACTTAACTGTCCAGGAGCCCTTTAAAGGTAAAGCGACCTCTGACCATTAGGTCCAGTCGCGACCGACTCTGGGGTTGCGGCACTCATCTTGTTTTATTTGCCAAGGGAACCGGCATACAGCTTCCGGGCCATGTGGCCAGCATGACTAAGCCGCTTCTGGCTAACCAGAGCAGTTCCCTGAAACGCTGTTTACCTTCCCGCTGGAGCGGTACCTATTTATCTACTTGCACTTTGACGTGTTTTCGAACTGCTAGGTTGGCAGGAGCAGGGACTGAGCAACGGGAGCTCACCCCATCATGGGGATTCGAACCGCCAACCTTCTGATTGGCAAGCCCTAGGCTCTGTGGTTTAACCCACAGCGCCACCCGCATCCCACTCCAGGGGCCCTTTACCTTTACCTTTTTACCATGGTACATGCTCATTATGCACGGCTGAGCTGTTTGTCGCAGCACTAAGTGGATGCAGCAGGTCTCAGATAAAATGAAGCCACTTTTCTAGAATGGCAATATACCTCTATTCTCAGCAGCCAGGTTGGGAAAATAAATGCACTGTCTAATGAGCACACAGAGAGATACTCCCTTTCCCTCTGACATATGCTTTGCATTAGAGGTGGGAAAATGGAAGGGGTCTCCATGGAAATGGGTAGGGCGGCAGCTGTTGTTTTTCAGCAAGAGCAAAAGGGGAGGAAGTTTATGAAGCCTAGAACTGGTGCTGTAGGAAAGGGAGGGATAGGAGGAAGCGAATGTCCGCATGGGAAAGAAATGCAACAATAGCAGAGCAGGCTGGAAGTAGATTTTCCGGAACTCTGCTTGAAGGCAGCACCAAGAGAGAAAGAGAAAGACTCTCTCTCTCTCTCTCTCTCTCTCTCTCTCTCTCTCTCTCACACACACACACACAGAGAGAGAGAGAGAGAGAGAGAGAGAGAGAGAGAAGCAGAAAGGGCATGTGATTTAAAAACCCAAAGCTGTCTCCTGTAGCCATTGCCTAAGCAGCTGCGATACTACGGAATCTTCACAAACATTCCAAGTGCTGAGGTTGGAGGGAGACGCAGGGAGTGTTGAGATCTAATGCTTATAATAGGTGAGGGAGCCTCACACAGGATCTAGGAACAGATAGAGCTTTGTGAAGTTCTGTGAGGTTGATGCCAAGTGCCAGGATCCTGTCAGTTCATTGGTAGGCATGTAATAGAAATCTTGGCCTTGCAGGGTGACTCAGTAAGAAAATAATAATAATAATAATAATAATAATAATAATAATAATAATAATAATTTCATTATTTCTACCCCGCCCAACAGTATGCCCTTACTGCAGAAGGAGAAGCCTAGTTCATTTTCAGCAGGTTGGGCCGTAGTTCCCTTCTGCTCTAACCATTGCACCTTTAATTGATGCATGATGGGCAGGAACGCAATAATTGAAGTTTTTCCTGGCAGGGAGGTACAGTGATGGGAAACGCCTGCCATGCCCAATCTCTGCCAAAACTGCAAAGGAAGGTGGCATCCTGAGATCTCAGCAGCGGATTATGGCACTGTGGGATCTCTTTCCTATAAATCCTCACCCACCTTGGTCTGCGGTGCATGCCGATGCAAAACCCAGCAGTTTTCTCTCATCCTGTCTGGCACATGGGCCACTGAAATCTTCTCCGCTGTGGTCTTCCATTGTCTTCCCACACATCTATCCAGGACTGTGCTGGCAAAATCTCCCTCATCCCCTCTCTTTGCATGCACCACATGGGCCTTGACTTCCAATTCAGTCCTGGATCTACTATAGACTCCATTCTTATAGAATCATAGAATCATAGAATCATAGAGTTGGAAGAGACCACAAGGGCCATCGAGTCCAACCCCCTGCCAAGCAGGAAACACCATCAGAGCACTCCTGACATATGGTTGTCAAGCCTCTGCTTAAAGACCTCCAAAGAAGGAGACTCCACCACACTCCTTGGCAGCAAATTCCACTGTCGAACAGCTCTTACTGTCAGGAAGTTCTTCCTAAGGTTTAGGTGGAATCTTCTTTCTTGTAGTTTGGATCCATTGCTCTGTGTCCGCTTCTCTGGAGCAGCATAAAACAACCTTTCTCCCTCCTCTATGTGACATCCTTTTATATATTTGAACATGGCTATCATATCACTCCTTAACCTCCTCTTCTCCAGGCTAAACATGCCCAGCTCCCTTAGCCGTTCCTCATAAGGCATCGTTTCCAGGCCTTTGACCATTTTGGTTGCCCTCCTCTGGACCCGTTCCAGTTTGTCAGTGTCCTTCTTGAACTGTGGTGCCCAGAACTGGACACAGTACTCCAGGTGAGGTCTGACCAGAGCAGAATACAGTGGCACTATTACTTCCCTTGATCTAGATGCTATACTCCTATTGATGCAGCCCAGAATTGCATTGGCTTTTTAGCTGCCGCGTCACACTGTTGGCTCATGTCAAGTTTGTGGTCAACCAAGACTCCTAGATCCTTTTCACATGTACTGCTCTCAAGCCAGGTGTCACCCATCTTGTATTTGTGCCTCTCATTTTTTTGCCCAAGTGCAATACTTTACATTTCTCCCTGTTAAAATTCATCTTGTTTGTTTTTGCCCAGTTCTCTAATCTGTCAAGGTCGTTTTGAAGTGTGATCCTGTCCTCTGGGGTGTTAGCCACCCTCCCAGTTTGGTGTCATCTGCAAATTTGATCAGGATGCTCTTGAGTCCATCATCCAAGTCGTTGATAAAGATGTTGAATAAGACCGGGCCCAAGACAGAACCCTGTGGCACCCCACTAGTCACTCTTCTCCAGGATGAAGAGGAACCATTGATGAGCACCCTTATTCTTACACCCAAGGCTTTTTATCTCGGCTCTCCTGCTTTGATACATCCCAGCTAGGGAAGGGCGATAAATCTGCTATGTTTGCATTTCAGTGCCAGCCTACTAATTCTGCCTTTCCGAAGCAGTATTTGACCGGCAAAGCAGTTTGCCTTGGGAATTTGCACTTCTCCAAATGTTGTGATCAGTTCCCCACCCAAATAACGTGTACCCAAAAAGTGGGAGCAAATTGTCCATAGATATGCATATCATAGCAAAAGCAACATAGAGAAATGCATTACCGTATTTTTTGCTCTATAAGACTCACTTTTTCCCTCCTAAAAAGTAAAGGGAAATGTGTGTGCGTCTTATGGAGCGAATGCAGGCTGCGCAGCTATCCCAGAAGCCAGAACAGCAAGAGGGATTGCTGCTTTCACTGCGCAGCGATCCCTCTTACTGTTCTGGCTTCTGAGATTCAGAATATTTTTTTTCTTGTTTTCCTCCTCCAAAAACTAGGTGCGTCTTGTGGTCTGGTGCATCTTATAGAGCGAAAAAAACGGTATATTAGGGGGAATTGGTTTGTAGAAGCGTGTACCTCAGGTGAAATTGCATAGAAAAAAGTGTATATATTAGGAAAGATTTGTTGGTGAATTCTCAAGACGATTTTCAAAAAGAACAATCACTATCTGATGTAGAAGTCTGGAGAACCAAAGGCTGGAAGAGTCTCAGTTCGGAGTCTGGGAGGCGCTGATCATTTCACTCAGACTGGACTCAGCAAGGATCAAATCCCTCAAGCATCCGTACTTGTAACCAAGCCTAAGGGCATTTAGCAGAAATAACCACACATGAGAGGCAGTGGTGGTGTAGTGGTTAGAGAGTTGGACTAAGACCTGGGAGGCAAGGGTTCAAATCCCCACTTGGCCGTGATGCTGGGGCCAGTCACTGCCTCTCAGCCTGACCAACCTCACAGGGTTGTTGTGAGAATTAAAAATGAGGAGGAAGAACCATGTGTGCACCCTTGGGAGAAAAGGTGGAATGTAAATGCAAGAAAACAAACAAATATATAAATTCTCCCCCTCTGCAGCCCAGCCTCTGATTCTCTTCTCTTCACCTGTTGCTTCCTCTGCGCTAAATATTGATTGTAGGATCCTTGGGGCAGAGACTTTTTCCTCTTTTCCTCTGCAAAGGGCATGCATGTTGGTGGTGCTACATAAAGACAAGAATCACCACCTAAGGAGGTAACTTTTGCACTCCTCATTTGCTTGCGTCCTGGGACTCTACTTTCTCTCCATCTTCCGTTATGGGACACACTTTAAAATTCTTACCATGTATTTTATTCCACCATCCCAATCTTATTCCATATACTATCTTAAAAAGGTAAAGGTAAAGGGACCCCTGACCATTAAGTCCAGTCGTGGACGACTTTGGGGTTGCGTGCTCATCTCGCTTTACTGGCCAAGGGAGCCGACATTTTCCGCAGACAGTTTTTCCGGGTCACGTGGCCAGCATGACTAAGCTGCTTCTGGCGAACCAGAGCAGTGCACGGAAACACCGTTTACCTTCCTGCCGGAGCGGTACCTATTTATCTACTTGCACTTTGACGTGCTTTTGAACTGCTAGGTTGGCAGGAGCAGGGATCGAGCAACGGGAGCTCACCCTGTCGTGGGGATTCGAACTGCTGACCTTCCGATCTGCAAGCCCTAGGCTCAGTGGTTTAGACCTATATACTATCTTATTCCTTCCTAAACCTGGGACTTTCTTTATGGCAAACATATATGCATAGCCTACTCAGCGCCTACTGAGTTATGAGCACTTTTTGCCTGACAATTGCAAGTGAATGGGTTTTTATTATTATTACTTTTGGTTGTTGTTGTTTGCTTTTTATGCCCAATCACAGATGTAGCTACTGCTTTTGACCTTTTTTATTATTATTGTGATTGATAGTATACAGTTATCAGTTTCTTGATGGTCTGGAGAAAGTTTTTGGTTTCCTAAAAAGAAAATGATGCAGTGCCCTTTTATTTGTGATGTTCAGGTGATGAGTGCTGTTGATTTAGGAACAGGAACAGAACCGCCCACATACAAATGACAGGCGCCAACAGGCTCAGCGGAACCCCAAGGTTTGCAAAAGCTAAAAAGAGAAAAGAAAGAAAGAATAGAAGAATAGAAAACATAAAAGAGAGAGGCAGGAAGAAACCCCCAACAGCCGAATGAGAAGTGATTGCTTAGTGGCTGTGGCAATGTTGATTGAAATTTGGAGTGCAAGGATGGAAAAGTGGGAGGAAAGGGGACAGAATAGAGCTGCCAGAATCCCCAAAAAGGACCATTCCACACTGCAACACTTCGTTGCGCGTCCCACCTGTATATTAAGTAAAACACAAAATTCAATTCAAGGTGATTGCTTCAGGGTTTCCTTGGAGCTAGCGATGAAGAGGGCTGGGTTTTAGGAAGGGAAACGTTCTTTAAGTTTGTAGAATCATGGAATTGTAGAAGAGTTGAAAGGAACCCAGTGGGTCTGTGCAGGAATCACAGCTAAAGGATCCCGGAGAGAGGGCAATGGCAGTCTTTGGGCTTTCAAATTCCAGCAACACCCTGTGCAAGGTCAAAATTTGGTGCCCCTACCTCCTACCTTCCATTCTGTTCAATTCACTATGTCATGGTGACAACACCCTGATAAAGGTAAAGGGACCCCTGACCATTAGGTCCAGTCGTGGCCGACTCTGGGGTTGCGGTGCTCATCTCGCTTTATTGGCTGAGGGAGCCAGAGTTCAGCTTCCGGGTCATGTGGCCAGCATGACTAAGCCGCTTCTGGAGAACCAGAGCAGCACACGGAAACGCTGTTTACCTTCCTGCCAGAGCGGTACCTATTTATCTACTTGCACTTTGACATGCTTTAGAACTGCTAGGTTGGAAGGAGCAGGGACCAAGCAACGGGAGCTCACCCTGTTGCGGGGATTCGAACACCCTGATAGATAGATAATATATTACCGTCGGAGACCAGCTTATAAAACACGCTTAGGCGTACAATCCCAAAAGGAAAACAAACATTTAAAACAATGTACAACAATAAATTTAAAATTTATAAATGTGATAAGCATATAGACACTTAAAACTTTAAGATAAGCTACTGCAGAGAGATGACCCAGAGTCAGCCATGGAACCGAGTTTGGGGATTTTCTTAAGGAACTAGTTTACGTTGGGGGATGGTCTGTGCCTACAGATCTGTACACAGAATGTGGCGACCATCCGGGTCGTCTTATGATCTTTGCCTAACAGGAGAAGGTCATTTTTTTGCTTTTCTGGGAGGTCAGTAAGCCTCACCAGCAGGGGATCAATGGTCTCACTACGTGCCTCTTCATAAAAGGGACATCTAAAGAACAAGTGCTCTGGGCTTCCTATATCCCCCAACGAACAGGCGCAAAGTCTCTGAGCATATGGGACTTTGGATCCTTCCAGGACCGGCGAGGGCAGAGCTGAGGTTCTGACAAGTGTAAAAGCCCTTCTTGCATTTTTGGATATGAGAAAGAACAACGCCCTGTCTTGGGGTCCAGTTGGCAGAACTGGTCCTAACTCTACCTCTGCAGATGGCCATCCAACCTCTATTTTAAAACCTCCAATAAAGGAGAATTAGGATGATCCTGTTCCGAAACAATTGTGGCAGTAACAAATACAAGAGTATCTCCTGCAAGAGCTGTTTGACCGTGGAATGGTATTCCTCGGGAGGTTGGGGACTGTCATGGGGATGCAGGTGGCTGCTTGCCTTGATGGTTGGGCTGGGCTTCCATGGACAGATGTAGCAATGCTTCTGAATACCACAGGCATCTGCTTGGCCGCTATGAGAACAGGATGCTAGACTAGGTAGGACACGGGTGGCACTGTGGTCTAAACCACTGAGCCTCTTGGGCTTGCTGATCAGAAGGTCGGTGGTTCAAATCCCTGCGGCGGAGTGAGCTCCCGTTGCTCAGTCCCAGCTCCTGCTAACCTAGCAGTTCGAAAGCACACTAGTGCAAGCAGATAAATGGGATCATCTTAATAGATGGTCCTGGTTGCGGGCCTCTTGGGCTTGCTGATCAGAAAGTCGGCAGTTCGAATCCCCACGACAGAGTGAGCTCCTGTTGCTCTGTCCCAGCTCCTGCCAACCTAGCAGTTTGAAAGCACGCTAGTGCAAGTAGATAAATAGGTACCGTTTCGGCGGGAAGGTAAATGGCGTTTCCGTGCGCTCTGGTTTCCATCACGGTGTCCCATTGTGCCAGAAGTGGTTTAGTCATGCTCACCACATGACCAGGAAAGCTGTCTGTGGATGAACGCTGGCTCCCTTGACCTGAAGGCAAGATGAGCGCCACAACCCCATTGTCGCCTTTGAGTTTACTTAACCATCCAGGGGTCCTTTACCTTTTTTACCTTTAGGGGGGACTGTCATTCCTTGGAGGTCTTTAAGCAGAGGTTTGGTGGCCATCTGTCATGGATGCTTTAGCTGAGATTCCGGCATTGCAGGGGGCTGGACTAGATGACCGTAGGAGTCCCTTCCTAAGGTACAATTCTATAATTTTAAACAGATCAGGAGCACCTTTCTCCTACCAAACAGGTAACCGTGCACAGCTGGGATCCTGGCTAAAGATTTGTCAGGGATGGTGATGGAGGACTGGACAAGCTTCTTGAGACTCTTGCTTGCCAAACGAAACTTTGCCTTCCAGACTGAAACAGGAGAGGAAGCCTTTGAAAGTGCCAGCGGAAGGGTTTTAACTTAGCAATCTGGGCCAGGGATGATGGAGAGGCCAAGGGAAAGGTGAACAGATCCGTCCCTAAGTGTTTCCCTAAGTGTTTGATATCAAGGCAGGATTACTACTGGAATGACTGCATTTTTAAAAATGCCTTGATCAAGATCTCAACGAACTCAGTGGCAAAAGCGTCTGGTTCTCAGCCAGCAGCTAAAAGTCGGGGAATGTGTCAACACTTAAAAGGCTTGGCTCCTTGAGATGCTTAAGATGGCAAACACGGTTAATGGAGTAAAGCTACTTGTTTCCTCTTCCAGCTGAGTCTCTCTTCCAGCTGGCCTCTTAGGGTTGGGTCTCCCACCCATCCACCCCACTTCAAATGCTTTTGTGAGAAAAGGTCGCAGCGGGAGATGCCAAGAGGTAGGGAAAATTGCACACCCAACACTTAAAGCCCATTTAAAACACATGGGGGAGAAGCCTGGGAAGTGTAGTTTGCCAATCACAGCGTGACAATACCAGCACCCTTAAAATATCTACAGTTCCCAGGATTCTTTGTGGGAAGTCATGTGCTTTAAATGTATGGTGTGTATTTGCAGCCCTGAGGATGCCCTGAAAGAGAAAAGGCTTGGGAAACTCCTTCAACTGTCAGGAAATGCTAATAGTATGAGGGATTTTGTTGTTGTTTGGGGTGGGGTGGGGGGAAGCACGCTAAGGCCTCATCCGCAATTGGACCGTGCCTAGAAAACACAGACCCTCCAAGTCTCTCTATTTTCCAGGGACAGCCCCAGATTTACAGAAGCTGTCCTAGTTTCTCACTTGATCCAGGAATGTCCGGCTTTTCCTTAAAGGTAAAGGTAAAGGGACCCCTAAGCATTAGGTCCAGTCGTGGCCGACTCTGGGGTTGCGGTGCTCATCTCGCTTTATTGACCGAGGGAGTTGGCGTAAAGCTTCCGGGTCATGCGGCCAGCATGACAAAGCCACTTCTGGCGAACCAGAGCAGCGCATGGAAACGCCGTTTACCTTCCCGCTGGAGCGGTACCTATTTATTTACTTGCACTTTTATGTGCTTTCGAACTGCTAGGTTGGCAGGAGCAGGGACCGGGCAACAGGAGCTCACCCCGTCGTGGGGATTTGAACCGCCGACCTTCTGATCGGCAAGTCCTAGGCTCTGTGGTTTAACCCACAGCGCCACCCGCATCCCTGGCTTTTCCTTAGGACATCCCTATTTTCATCGGAGAAATATTGGCGTATATGGAGTTATGCAACCCCTGAACCAAGGAGATAAGGAACTAGACAACCTTTAGAAGACATCTGAAGGCAGGCCTGTATAGGGAAGCTTTTGAATGTTTAATTATGTTTTTATACATGTTGGAAGCCGCCAAGCATGGTTGAGGCAACCCAGTCAGATGGATGGGGTATAAAGATTATCACAGTGGTACCTTGGGTTACATATGCTTCAGGTTACATATGCTTCAGGTTACAGACTCCGCTAACCCAGAAATAGTACCTCGGGTTAAGAACTTTGCTTCAGGATGAGAACAGAAATCGTGCTCATGCGGCACAGCAGCAGCAGGAGGCCCCATTAGCTAAAGTGGTGCTTCAGGTTGACCACAAACTTGACATGAGCCAACAGTGTGACGCGGCAGCTAAAAAAGCCAATGCAATTCTGGGCTGCATCAATAGGAGTATAGCATCTAGATCAAGGGAAGTAATAGTGCCACTGTATTCTGCTCTGGTCAGACCTCACCTGGAGTACTGTGTCCAGTTCTGGGCACCACAGTTCAAGAAGGACACTGACAAACTGGAACGTGTCCAGAGGAGGGCAACCAAAATGGTCAAAGGCCTGGAAACGATGCCTTATGAGGAACGGCTAAGGGAGCTGGGCATGTTTAGCCTGGAGAAGAGGAGGTTAAGGGGTGATATGATAGCCATGTTCAAATCTATAAAAGGATGTCACATAGAGGAGGGAGAAAGGTTGTTTTCTGCTGCTCCAGAGAAGCGGACACGGAGCAATGGATCCAAACTACAAGAAAGAAGATTCCACCTAAACATTAGGAAGAACTTCCTGACAGTAAGAGCTGTTTGACAGTGGAATTTGCTGCCAAGGAGTGTGGTGGAGTCTCCTTCTTTGGAGGTCTTTAAGCAGAGACTTGACAACCATATGTCAGGAGTGCTCTGATGGTGTTTCCTGCTTGGCAGGGGGTTGGACTCGATGGCCCTTGTGGTCTCTTCCAACTCTATGATTCTATGATTCTAGGTTAAGAACAGTTTCAGGTTAAGAACAGAGCTCTGGAATGAATTAAGTACTTAACCTGAGGTAGCACTGTATTATTATTATTATTATTAACATTATTATTATTGAATAGGACACCCCTATTTTCATTGGAGAAATGTTGGAGGGTATGAAAGCCTGGGGCTGAGTGTTTTGCCATTGCCTCACCACTTTCCCTCGGAGAACTCACTCTTTAGCGCTAAATTGGAACAAACAGCAATTCGCGGAAAACCTGATTGCTGTTTGTTCTGGTTCGGCACTGATCTGTGGGTTTTCCCAGGGGAAACAGCAGGGCAAACAGAAGAATGGACAAGCCCCCCTGTTGATAAGCATGAGCCACTGATGTAGCGACTTGAATGCAGCACAGAGCCACAGGAAACCCCGGCAAGCGTTGCTATGTTAGGAAGATTGTTTATGCAGCAAGCTGAAATCCATTGTTCGGATGACACACACAGTTGTGGTCACTTAGGGTGCCATGGCAAATTTGGGACAAACAAGGGTGTTCAGCCTGATTGATGGGGCTTCTCCATCTGCAAGTTCCCTGGATACGTTCCCCTTCGTTTCTTCTCTTGCCACACCCGTGTCCTTGGTGATGACATTTATTCCCCTAACATTGGTTTGGTCGCAATCCATTGTGGTTCTGTTTAAAAAAAGGAAAAGTTGGGGGTGGAGAGCGGTTCATATTCCCCCTTTGCTGTTCTTAAATCGCTTTCTGAGTAAGTGCCTATTTTAGTAGTTGCATCTGTACCTATCTTGCTGAGATCAGCGGAGTTTTAATTTATTTCTCCCTGTGGCAAAACGCTTTGGCTTCCAGCTTCATCAGATGCGGCTTTCCCCCTTTCCCCTCTTTCATAATAGTAAAACTTTGGGTCACCCAAACACACACACACACTGGCAGGAGATTCAGCCTGGGCCAATAGAAATACTTACTGTATTTTTTGCTCTATAAGACTCATTTTTTCCCTCCTAAAAAGTAAGGGGAAATGTGTGTGCGTCTTATGGAGCGAATGCAGGCTGTGCAGCTATCTCAGAAGCCAGAACAGCAAGAGGGATTGCTGCTTTCACTGCACAGCAATATCTCTTGCTGTTCTGGCTTCTGAGATTCAGAATATTTTTTTTTTCTTGTTTTCCTGCTCCAAAAACTAGGGGGGCCATTGCCCCAGGTGAAATTTCTTCAAGGAAGCATTTTGCTCCACATGTCAGCCCCACACTGCCTTGCAAATCCAATACCACATTCCAGCCTCGCAAAGCAGCATAATCTGGACTGATTCCGTCTGATCTGGACAGACTGAAAGGGCGAGTGCTTGCCCTGCTGCCCCCTCCTCATATCGCCCCCCGTGCCCCACACCACTGGCATGCTGGTGCATGAACACCCTGGGCGCCATGAGGACACACTCTGGCACTGGTAGAGCACCTCTGCCTTGCATGCATGAGATCCCAGTTTCATTCTCCAGCATCTCTCTAAAACCCTGGGGAGAAAGCTCTTGCTTGTCTGCATAGAGAATAGTGAACTAGATAGGCAAGGTAAAAGGACCCCTGGATGGTTAAGTCCAGTCAAATTTGACTATGGGGTGCGGCGCTCATCTCTGCTTTCAGGTTGAGGAAGCCGGTGTTTGTCCACAGACAGCTAGGTCTCTGTAAGGCAGCGGTTCTCAACCTGTGGGTCCCCAGATGTTGTTGGACTACAAACCCCATCATCCCTAGGCTCTGGCCTTGCTAGCTAGGAGTCATGGGAGTTGTAGTCCAACAACATCTGGGGAACCACAGGTTGAGAAAGGCTGTTGTAAGGTAAAAGGTAAAGGTAAAGGACCCCTGGATGGTTAAGTCCAGTCAAATTTGACTATGGGGTGTGGCACTCATCTCTGCTTTCAGGCCAAGGGAGCCAGCATTTGTTCACAGACAGCTTTCCGGGTCATGTGGCCAGCATGACTAAACCGCTTCTGGCACAACGGGACACCGTGACAGAAACCAGAGCACACGGAAACGCCGTTTACCTTCCTGCCGCAGTGGTACCTGTTTATCTATTCGTGCTGGCGTGCTTTCAAACTGCTAAGTTGGCAGAAGCTGGGACAGAGCAACAGGAGCTCACCCCACCGTCATGGGGATTTGAACTGCCGACCTTCTGATTGGCAAGCCCAAGAGACTCGGTGGTTTAGACCACAGCACCACCCATGTCCCTGAGCTAGATAGACAAATAGATTGACCCAGTTTAAGGCAGTTTTTTACGATCCTAAAGATGCTGGACTCAATCTCTTTTCAGCCCAATACAGCAAGACTCTTCTTGTGTTCCTTCCCTCCCTCCCTCCTCCTCTATTTCCCCAACATAGCGTTGCCCATGGCAACCATTTGTTTATTTGGGAGACGTCAATTGGATCCTTTTGGGGGGGAGGGCTAAACTTGCTCATGACGATCTGAAGTCATTGCAAACGACTTCATTTGCATGACCCCCTCCAGGGTGGCTGCAAGTGATTCGAACATCCTTTCCAATAACAGCCACACAGGGCCCTGTTTCTTGACAGAAGCTTGTTCCATGATCCAGCTATTAATTCAGTTGAGGCAAAACCCCATGCAACACATTTGCTTTCCCCAACAGTGTCCTGGGATGATGCATCATCTCTTGGTACATATAAACCAGGGGTCAGCAAACTTTTTCAGCAGGGGGCCAGTCCACTGTCCCTCAGACCTTGTGGTGGGCTGGACTATATTACGGGGGAAAGAAATGAACAAATTCCTATGCCCCACAAATATCCCAGAGATGCATTTTAAATAAAAGGATACATTCTACTCATGTAAAAACACGCTGATACCCAGACCATCTGCATGCTGGATTTAGATCCGGCCGGATCTGGCCCCTGGGCCTTAGTTTGCCTACCCGTGATATAAACAATGAGCCACTTGCGGTAAACTTTGCTGCTGTTTCCAAACTGCTTGTGTTTGTGCAGGGCGAGTTGTCAGTGTAACATCTGCCTTGCGGAGAAAACTTAAGGAGGATCGAGCTGGAACTGCTAGCCCACAAATTCACGGACCACTTTACGTTTCCTTCGTCTTACAGCTTCTCTTGAGAATCATACTCCTTGCATTGTTCTCCTGAGATGCAGTTCAGTTGATTTCTTGAACACTTTTCCTTTTGTGGTTGTGTTTTTCCACTGTAAACTTCTAAACTATGGTTTATTTATTGTAACCCATCCTATTGAAAACTGTCTTGCTAAACCTACTCGCTCACACCCTTTAGTTTGCCATGTCCAAAGCCTTTCTGATTTATTCCCATCTGTCTTTCACCTCCCTCCATGAAAAGCATTCCCACAGGGATGAGACAATGGCATCCTCTAAACAAGACAACTCAGCAAACGGAATGGTTCTGCACTGGCAACCATGAATGAGAGACCCAAAGAAATACAGATAGTTACTGTCTGTCTGCTAGGCTCATAATACTCTTCTTTTTATATACCTTGAAGCTAAAGGGGACCATAATTCTTCTCTTTACAGTCTGTTACCCCCACCTGCAACTAAAGCACACAAAAATGATTCCTGGTTTCCTGCCATGCTCTAGAGTTATTGGGGATCTGCCAGTTTGTTGTTAGTTGAGGTTGGCTGAGGAATGAGCCATGCTTTCTCTCTGACAAGGACTGGAGCACCTTAGTCTGAAAATGAGGGGCTGCTTGCTTGCCCCGCCTCTCTGAAGAAACCCCACCCCTGACATGGTAGTTGCTTAATAATAATAATAATAATAATAATAATAATAATAATAATAAAAAATTTTATTTATACCCCACCCTCCCCGGCCAGAGCCGGGCTCACAGCGACTAACACCAGTAAAATTACAGTAAAAACATAATAGGAAAAACCCCCAATTTAAAATACAGGTTAAAATGCAATTTAAACTGCAGCCTCATTTTAATAGTAGCCCATAGATCAAAACCATAAGGGGAGGGAAACAGAAGGGTCAGACTGAGTTCAAACCAAAGGCCAGGCGGAACAGCTCTGTCTTGCAGGCCCTGCGGAAATATGTCAAGTCCCGCAGGGCCCTAGTCTCTTGTGACAGAGCGTTCCACCAAGTCGGGGCCAGTACTGAAAAGGCCCTGGCCCTAGTTGAGACCAATCTAACCACCTTGCGGCTCGGGACCTCCAAAGTGTTGTTATTTGTGGACCTTAAGGTCCTCTGTGGGGCATATGCAAAGAAGTCCCACCAGTTCCAGAAGTGGTGCAAACTTGGATAGAAAGCTCTACCTCCTGCTCTTGCTGATTGCATGAACTGGGGAATCCAGTTAGGAACATCAGTTGATGAAATAGAGAAGTCCTTCCAAGCTTTTACAGAACCCCAATTAGAAACGTCGCTAGTTCTGGGTTTGGAAGAATGTCAAAATGCGTCTCAAAATTTCCCTAGGGGCAAAACAAGGGGGCACCTGCTTGTGGGGTGGTCTCCAGTGGGGTGATACTCTTCTCCACCCCTGTCCCTAAACGATCAGCACTCGGTATGTCCTCAGCATGCTCTGTTCTCATTAGGCTGTTTTTAGACACCCCTCCCCCAGTTTTTCCACCCTCTAAAGGTATTTTGCACTTCTGCAAACTTTAGAGTTTGCTTGAGTCTGCTGACACATCTGTGTATAGATAGTGCTGTTTCTGCTGCAGAAACTGTGGCATTTGTAGAATCGCAGAATTGGGAGGGACCCAAAGGGTCCCCCTGCAATGTGGGAATCACAGCTCAACTTCAGAAACAGAGCAATAGATTCCATGCGGACTGTCACCCAGCCTCACCCACCTCAAGCCTGGAGTGGTACAGTCCATGAAATGTTCAATTCCTTGATTCTGCTGAAATTGGACCTCTAGATGTGGTGTGTGAGAAAGGTCCAACTGATGGTATGGAATTCATGATGCCCAGATGACCCTGTTCCTCTTCTTCTTTCTCCTTCTTTCTCCTTCTTCTTTCTTTGGCGATCATTCATAGTCAAGTAAGATTGTCTTCCATAAACACAGTCTTAACAGTGAGTCCGTAATTCTGGATCCACACGTCCTTCCACAGTGGGGACATTGGTTTCCAGGTGGGAGTTGGTCACGGTGTGGATTTGCCAAGTGTGCCTTCCTCATAGCACGTTTCTCCCTTGCGCCCTGAGTTCGAGTGTCTTCAAAGCCCATGACACCTTTGGTAAAGGCTGTTCTCCAACTAGAGCACTCGCAGGCCAGTGTTTCCCAGTTGTCAGTGTTTATACTACTTTTTTTTTATTTGCCTTGAGACAGTCTTTAAACCTCTTTTGTTGACCACCAGCATTACACTTTCCATTTTTAAGTTCGGAATAGAGTAGTTGCTTTGGAAGACAATCATCAGGCATCCGCACAACATGACCAGTCCAACGAAGTTGATGTTGAAGAACCATTGCTTCAACACTGGTGATCTTTGCTTCTTTTAGTACACTGATATTATTTCACCTGTCTTCCCAAGTGATGTGTAAATTTTTTTGGAGACACCGTTGATGGAATCTTTTAGGAGTTGGAGATGGCGTTCATAAGTGGTCCATGTTTCACAAGCATACAGTAAGGTTGGTAGTACTGTCCTAGTGGGATGGTTTGACCTCTGATTTGCATGTGGGAATTGCAAATTCATAAGGCCAGAGCCATAAGGCAAGGTGAGGTGGCTACTTCAGGCAACAGGATCCAATGGGATCCCGGTGTCAAACTTTCTTGTCTGCCCCATTCCTGATGTAGATCTTCCATGACCCCTTCTTCCCTGGTGGGGAAGGGTGGGGATGCCATTTTAGGGCCCAGCTCGGGCGCCAAAATGTCTTAGGCCAGCCTTGTCTCTCCTTAAATCCTTCCTGCACGTGCAACCCATCAAAGGAAGAAGAGGCTTCTCCATTGCGTGCTAGCTTTGCAAGCTGAGGGAGATTTTAACATCTGCGAGAGCTCAGTTTTATAGACGTTTAATAACCCTGTCCAAACATTTCCTTTTGCAACCTTTTGCATTCTGGTTTACTGAAGTTTTATGGGTACACTCAAAGTTTTTAATGCACCGTGGCCATATTTTGCATGCAATTGAAATTATTGCTGGGGTGGGCTTTCTGTTATAGATTCTTGATGCAGATTTTCATAGTGTTTTCTCCATCAGTTGTGTGCGTGTGATGAACCAGCCAATCCCAGTTTATACCAAAACGAATTTAATCGCAGATATCCTGTTACCTAATGAAAGGCTGTTTTGATCGTAAGGGACCGTGCTTTGCACACTATGGTATCCTCTTGCATAACAAACAAATAGCATAATTTTTCCTGCCGTGTTCAACAATCTTCCCCTCCCCATTTGCTACCCTTTGTAAAAATAACAATGATAATCTAACAGGGGCAGAGGATATCTAGCTGCTGGGAAAGAATGTAGGCTGGTTTACCTTGATCCAGTTCAATTTCCTGTTTCTTTCTTTTTATGTAAGCGAGATAGCAATGGATATGAAACATTCTCTCTTCATTACTCTCACGCTTCCTTAAAACTCTGGAAATGGGTCTCCTGTTATGGAAGCAACAATGCGCCAGAGCTTGTTTATGCAACCATAACACAAAGGTCAGGTTAGTTTCTGAGCAGAAATCAAACTCCTGGTTTTGACCTATAAAGCCTCAGGTGGCTAAGGACCCCAATACCTCCAGGACCACCTCACTCCACATGAATTGAACGGGACCCTGAGATGGTCAACTGAGGCTCTTCTCCACGTGCCCCTTCCATGGCAGGTCCTGAGAGTGGCAACATGAGAATGGGCCTTTTCTGTGGTGGCTCCCCACTTGTGGAATGCTCTGGCACCATCCTCAACAATTTTTCGATGTCAGGTTAAAAGCTTTCCCTTTTATCCAGGCCTTTTGTCCTTAATTTGAAGGGCACCATGCTGCAGGATCTGTAGAATATGTATAAATTGGGTTTTATGTGTTTATTGATTTTGTCCGTTTTAATTGACTTTAATGTTTAGACTGTTTTTGTAAGTCGTTTTGGGAGACAGACAGACAGACAGACAGACAGACAGACAGATAAAGGGTGCCATTTTGAAGTTTTCATTAGGAGATAATATCCTTGGTCCAGGACTTTATTACCTAGTTTTCTTTGACGTATTAAACCTGGGTCTGTTCTATACCATATTAGAGGCTGACATCTCAGGGTGCTTCTCCGTATAAAAACAACCAAAAACTAGATGTCCAGGAGAGAGATTCTTACTTAGTGTTTTCCCTGACAGGCTAGCTTTCTGTGAGCAGACTGCAAATGATGGCTTTTTCACCCCAAATGTGTTGGCTCCGCTAAGCGCGTGTATGGATATTGTTAGCGAGGCAGTGGGAGACGATGATGGCTCTAGATATGAGTGGATCCGAAAACATGAAAGAAACCAGCAAATGTTGAAAGGCAAAGCATTCTACCCAAAAGCCATGCATTAAAGTCTTCTCTGAAGCCACAGCAAATATTTATCTCCAGGAAATTGCACTTCAATTTTTGGAGAACAGATTACTTTCAAGTTTTTCTGAGCACGATTTCCTGTGCTTTTCCTATCCCAGACTGGGCACAAGATGAGTTCAACATGTTGCTGTAATGTATGTCTTTGTAAAATAAAATCCTGGATGTAGCGATAGACCGTGCTATCAGCTTGTTTTAATAATATCTTGAACTGTTTCCCACTTCTTATTGTCTTATTGTGTAACTGGTGATGGCCTTTGCTGTGCCGTGAAGATTTGGAAAAGAAAGAGGGGAATGAAATGGGTGGTTTAATTTTAATAATAACTTTACGGTGTTTCCTGCAAATCTCCTAGGAAGCTCCTATACAGCTTCCCAGATTCACACAATGCCATTTTTCACACTGGGTGCATGAGAACAGGTCTGCTGCTGTTTTCAAGAATCTGCATGTGTAGAATTTCTTCGTAACACAGTGAACATCTGCTGTTCTCACTTCTCGAAGTGAAACGCACAAATTCACAGCTGTGCATTCCCAAGCTTTGCCACATCGCGTTTTCCAAAGTTGATTTGTTGTGTTTGAGATCATTCCCAAAGTAAATCAAGGAGTACCAGAAGCAGGGTGTTTATCCTCAGATGTGGGGAAAATTGACATTAACGTACTAACAATGTGGGGGCTCATTTATCTAGAAAAGTGCATTGAATATGAGTTTGCATAGTCTGAAAATTTCCAAGAAATAGCTTTAGGTACCCAGAACATTGAAGGCATTCCCTCCCTTTGAAAAATGAAGGCTAGATGTTTGCTGCTGACTTTTATCCTCTTAGATACTGATGACCTTTTACATCAGAGAGCAGATGTCTAGTTCCAATTAGCACATTCCCTAGGAAAAGGTACCACTTGGACAAGTTGGTGCAAGCCACAACAGCAGCAATTCATATCTGGTTGGCTGGGTTCATGCTTCTATCTTGTATCACCCAATTCTGTTTTGATCAGGATGCTGTTCTCAACAGCTAGGACTGTGAACCTGTTACCTTTCCTCTTTTGACAGTGCAAACTGTAGGCTCATGCCAATCCACACCACTTGTTGCAAGTAGAGATGGGAAATTTGTTTTGGTTTTCATTTAAATGTGACCCTACCTAATTCACAGTTCTGGAAGCAACACCCAAAGTAAAACGCTTCTCTGAATTTTGCAATGCAGTCCTCCAGCCAAGTAAGGTTTACAAAAGTGCATACACTGAGCTGAAGTGTGCACCTGTCTGTGAAAACAGCGTACATAAATTGCATTGCATTAGGGGATGTTGTATTGCAAAAAAAATATGTGTATCTCACGCAAAAAAAAAGTGCACGGTAGGAAAAATTCACCGTAAAATACTGATGAATTTTCGTGAGGGTTTTCTCTCTCTCTCTCTAAAGCAAACTAATGTGGAAAACTGAAATTAAGAGAAGGAAAACGAGAAACCAATAGAAGCCAAAACAGATTTTCCCATCCCTAATTGTTGATCTGGTCTACAGAGTGAGGGAGTGAGAAACCTAAGTAGGGAGTGAATGCTTTCTTGAGTTTCGAACTCAGACTGTCCTTCAGATCCTGTACTTCTTCAGATTTCTAAATGCAGTCATCAGTTCAGAAGCACGCTAACGTTTGTAGCGACTGCCATTAAAATAAGGGCACAATGATGTGCTGCGAGTTTTAAATTACATCGTTTTAATTTAGTCTGTCCACTGTTTATCTTCCCAGTTCTGTTTGCATATCTTTGTATTTCCTACACAAACAGCCATGGCTGGGTGGCTGATAGGTTTTTCAGTCAAGAACAGACAATTTGGAAATGTTGGTAGCAGACTTATTTAATTATGTTGGCTTGGACAGCCTGCACAGAAACTTTGTTTGTTTGTTTCAGGTTCTCCTTGTTAGGTTCTAACCTATAATATCCATTGTCCGTAAGATTTATTGTATTTCTCCTAAACTTTGGACTGGCCCTGCTCACACAGAGGAGTTCTGGGTTCTGAGTCATCAAGTGGCAAAATGCTTATGTGAAGGAGACCCTAATACTGAACTGTTGCTTGTGTGAAATTCTCCATCTCAGATACAGGATTCGCAGGTAGAATATTGCCTCCTTCAGCATGTAAGAAATAACTTCTCCTTCTCTTGGCCTTGCCCTCTCACAGCTGGCAAATGGAATCAATCCAGGACAAGGCCTTGGCATCGAGATCATTGCTACCTTGCAGTTGGTGCTCTGTGTGCTTGCCACGACAGATAGGAGGAGGACCGACGTCACTGGATCGGCACCTTTGGCCATTGGCCTCTCAGTGGCCCTGGGGCATCTTCTTGCTGTGAGTATAAAGTTGGATCAGGGAACGCTTTGCAGTCTCTGGGACTGCAAAGCACATTAGGGCATCCGCTTGTGAACTGCCGAGGATGAGCAAATGCATAACACACACACACAGGCAGAAGAAGCTGCCCATTTGCATAAAGCCTGCATATGCTAAGTTGTGCATATGCTAAGTTGTGAAATGAAATAGAAATGAACTGCATCTTGCTATAGGGGAAGTTACCAGAGACTTCTGTGCCAGCTTAGTCTGCTGCCAGGTGCTTTGGAGAGATGGCTTCAGTTACTTCAAACAGAGCTGAAAACAAAACTAGGTCTCTCCACACACAGCCTGCATTCAAGCCTGTTTCCTCCTGAAGAGAGATATTTAGCACACCATCCTCTTTGGTGGCTTGAGAGAGAACCAAGACTAACTCACACAAAATGGAGATTTGTAACTGAATACCCCTCGTGTGTGATCTAAGTTAAACACCACGTGAGAGGGTAGCAGAGATACATCAACAGTTCATCATTTACCTGTTAGATTCTCCTTTGTTCAGCTACAGTGGAAGTTTCCATGCTGTTTATTTAGCAGCACAAAATACAGAGTTATACAGAGTTGTTTTCCACTTCAGTGTGCAGTTAAACAATTATACTTAACAAATGAGAGGTCCTCTGCAAAGCAGGACACAGGTTCATCTTGAGTTGTATTCAAAAAAGGATGCAGTAAAGAATATAGAACCAGGATCAGCAGGGATGGAGGTGGTGATCCAAAGGTCTCTTTCCCTAGAATGGCCTTTTGCTCATGGGTGCTGCCACTTACACACAACTCCTCTGCTCTGGGTTTAGTTATAAAATGGTATAGAAGGTACCTCATACCCGGGTCAGACTATTGGTCTGAAGAACACTGTGATGTCCACCTCTTCCTGATCCATATCCGAGTCCTGACAAACATAAACTCATAAGAGGAGCCCACTTAGACCACTATCCTCTTCTCACAACAGCTAGTCAGATGCCCATGGAAGTCGACAAGCAGGACTTGAGTACAACAGTGTTCTCCCCACCTGTGAGTCCTAGAATTGGGTGTAGAGAGGTATACTGCCTCTGCAATGGATGCTGCCAGGAACAGTGCTGAGGAGGGCTGCACTGAGGAAGAATGGTGGCAGCCACCCCTCTCCTTCTGATCCTGATCCTGAATTTTCCCAGGAGCAGGAGGACAGTATAGATTTGGAAAAGTGGTTTGCAGAGGGGCATAGTTCAGAAGGCAGAAGCTGGGAAATACTGGATGGGGAATAGCTAGGAGAAGAAACACTGGAAGAGAGAGAGAGTTAACAGATTCACTGTCTCTGGGTAGTATCCACCCCCCTTCCCCAAAGTCCCGGAGAGCTCAGAAAGTGTCAGAACAGAAAGCACAGAGGCTACAAACTCAGATTACAAGATGTAGGAGTGACACAGATTAATAGGGACGGAGGGAGGAGTGACCTTAACTGGGAGCACCGCCATTCTGGTTAGATGCTTTCCTTTGTCCTTCGCTTTGTTTATTAAAGAAATTAACTGGTAAGAATTCCCTTTCATTTGATCTGCTCATTTACGGCCACAGGGGAGGAAGTTGATTCCCCGAAGCCTGACAGATGCTCTCTTCGAGGGATGCTTCCTGAGATCTTTTTCACTGGAAATGTGGAAAAGTAGTTTCAACGTGCAACTGGATATGAATTAGCTACCCATTTGCATTTGGGAGGTAGACAGGGTCCCTCAACAGACTGCTGATACCTGATAGAAAACCTGCCTCCTTGTGATTGTTGCTCTCTCCTCACTCACCTTAGATTGACTATACTGGTTGTGGAATCAACCCTGCAAGATCTTTCGGGTCCGCTTTGATCACCACTAACTTCACCAATCACTGGGTAAGTTTCAGGTCTTAACACTGAAATGGGTGCCCGTTTGCAGAGGTACTTGTGGTATGTGCTACTTGTGGTATGTGCTGGAAGCAGAGGAGAGTTCTGTTGCGACTGTCGGTTGCCATTTCCGCCTGCTATTTGTGGGTTGCCCATATAGGAGATATGATAGCCATCTTCAAATATCTGAAGGGCTTTCACACTGAAGGTGGAGCAGACCTGCTCTCTGCTTCTCCAGAGGGTGAGACCAGAACCAGTGGATTCAAATTGCAAGGAGATTCTGGCTAAACATTAGGAAGAACGTTCTGGCTGTTAGACAGTAGAATGGACAGCCTTGGAAAGCTTCATTGCAGTTTAAAAGAGAGGTTAGAAGGCCATCTCTCAGGGATTATTTATCTGTGATTTCTGCATTTGAGGAGGGTTGGACTAGACACACCTGTTTGTTCGTTTGCAATATTACAACAACAACAACAACGACAACAACACAGAGACTGGATTAAAAAGGGAAGCAAATAACTTAGCAGGGTGCTGTTACCAAGCTATGGGCAAAACTAAAACTAATCAGATCTTCTTAGCTTCTTTTCCCTGCTGGTGTCACCCAGAACTAATCACCTGTATACAACCAGTTCTAAATCACTTTAGTTCCTGCTCACATTACACCGCCTATTGACTACAGCACTATTCATCTTCTTCTCTAAAAATCTTCTCTTGGGTGGAGACAGTTTGAGGACCTCTCTTCACTGCCAGGAAATGATGAACTGGCAGGGGGTGGAAATAATAATAATAATAATAATAATAATAATAATAATAATAAATTTTATTTATACCCCGCCCTCCCCAGCCAAGACCGGGCTCAGGGCGGCTAACACCTGATATAAAACAATTGATCGAAATACAGCTTAAAAAACAAGATTAAAATACAACATTAAAACATTAAAATGCAGCCTCCTTTCAGTGGAAACTCAAATCAAAAACTTTTTTGGGGATAAAACGTCATGTCTTCACTAAGGCTAACTATCCAGACTGGTCCTACGTGGGCCAGAAAAAAGCCAGGTAAGTCCCCAAATAGGAGTTCCATCACAGAGGGAGAAAGGAAAAAAGAAAGAGGGGGAGGGAATCAAATTGATTCCAAGCCAAAGGCCAGGCGGAACAACTCTGTCTTACAGGCCCTGCAGAAAGAAATCAGATCCTGCAGGGCCCTGGTCTCATGAGGCAGAGTGTTCCACCAGGCTGGAGCCAGGGTTGAAAAGGCCCTGGCTCTGGTTGAGGCTAATCTGACTTCCTTAGGGCCCGGGACCTCTAGGGTGTTGCTTATGCCTCTGAAATAACTGGTTGCAAAATGGCAATGTTTCTCTGGGAACTGCTCTGTCAAATGTGTCTTCCATTGACCTTGCATTTCAGATTTTCTGGGTTGGCCCGCTGATTGGAGGGGCCAGCGCCGCCCTCATCTATGACTTCATCCTGGCTCCTAGGAGCAGCGACGTAACCGATCGCATGAAGGTCTGGACCAGTGGCCAGGTGGAAGAATATGATCTCGATGCCGATGACTCCAGGGTGGAGATGAAACCAAAATAGAGGCGAACCGAGACAGGAAGAAAAAGAAGACAAACAAAACCAATCTCCGAAGATTTTTATCAGTATTATAGACTCTTTGTAAAGCAACAAGCAATTCTTCCCAAAAATTTTATAAGTCATTAGAGTTTTCCTTCTCTTATTTCGTGCCTATTCTTTCCAGACTTTTAGATCTGTGGCTGCACAGTGAGACAAAACAAAATTGGTGGGGCGGGGGGAGGAGATGTCTATATTTTGTACTATATATGTGTGAAAGAGCTAGGGAGAAGATTTGCAGTAATGATTCTGGAAGTCCAAGTTTAGATTTCTTAATCCAAAGGGACTGGCTTCTCCTGCAGTTTGATGGGCATATTGCAATGAAGCCCACATGTTCAACAGCCTACAGGCAGTCAGAAAGGGATACCTGAAGAGATTTCACCTGCCAAATTCTAGAAATGAAAAAAAAAGTAAATGGAAGTGCCTGGTGAGAAGATTTTGAACACGGAAGGCCAATTTTGATATGCTGCAGATTGTGCCGATCTCTAGAAAGTGTCTGAGACACCAGAAGTGGTTTGTTGTTTTTTAAAAATCACATGCAGACCCATTTAAGAACAGGTTCCAGAAAGAAGTTGGTGTTATTTAGTGCTATTTTTCCAGAAAAAGAGGTGCTGGAACTCACCATGAACACCTCCCTTGTTTTCTTATAATGGCAATGGCACCCACCTGAGTTCTGGTGAGTTCCAGCTGAAAAAAAGCCCTGGTGTTACTTAGGCGCATACTCTTACTTACAAATCATATGCGTTTATATATTATATGCATGTCGCTGCATACAAAATCCAAAAGAGAGGCATAAGGCTAAAGTATGGAATATCTCTTATTTCTTACAACTTGAAAGGACTTCTCTTCCCCTTTGTAGACATCTGTTGGCAATTTATTTATTTTCAAAGCCACACCTTGACGAAAAGTTGGCAAGGGCCAGGTATAATTTTTGTCACCTGGCCCACCGATAGCCCTGGAGATCAAAGGCTAGCATACCAGCTACCAGGAAATTCCCAAGTCAAGCGTCAATGAAATTAGTGGGGGTTAACACAATTGGTTTTTCAAAGCTCCCCTACATTCCCAATGAGGTTTGTGCAGGATACTGGGTTGTGCCAGTAAACATTATTGTATGTAATTAACGTCAGCCCAGGTTTATTCATGTCTGTTAACACGCATTCCTCTTCACGATGCACCATTAATTCTGCCGCATGTAAAAACGCTACCGACTCCCAATAAATGTTTACACCTTATAGTTTTGCATGTATGTAAACTGTATCTGTACATACCCATATTATAAATCAGCTCCCCGCCCCGCCCCCACCAACCTGCTTTGGGATGACATCAGTCATCAACTCCAATCAACATAGCAGCGAATGATGGGATTTGTAGTCCAAAACATCAGAATGGGGCCAGAGAATACATGTCTAAAGAATAAATCAAATATTTTCACAATTTTTCATAAATTTCAAATCAGGAAAAAGTTCCAAATTCTTTTATTGTTCAGAAGTTTGCTTTGAGGGATACTTAACGTAAAGTATCAAAATTTTGTGGATGGGTTTTATAGCAACAATGTTGTGCATTAGCTTGAACTCATTAGTTTTGCAAGTTTATTTAATAATAATAAAATAAATTTTTATTTGTACCCCATCCTCCCCGGCTGGAGCCGGGCTCAGAGCGACTAACATCATATAAATAATACAATATGCATAAAAACAAGCAGTTGATCGATTAAAATGCATCCCAAAATTAATTCAAATAAATTAAAATTAAAACTGGGCAAATGACAATCCTCAGTTTAAAACTGAAAGTGATTAATACTCAAAAGGACCAACTGTTTCTATTGATATTATAAGGACCTGTGAAACCTTTCTCCCCCATGATGACATCCCAACAGCAACGAAAAATGCAGTCCTATCCCAGATTAGGAATATCGGAGGAAAAAATAGATGGGGATAATCTGAACTGGATTTCTACAAATGAATTTAAATTAGAAGAATGTACTGGAAAAAAAACCACTTCAGTCCTAAATCCTCAATAAACAGCAGTAACCAGGAAAAAGATACAATGATAATTTTTCCTTTATCTCTCTTTCAAGAGCAACATCCATTTCCCAAGGCATTCTGGAGTAGTTCAGTTCTCACAACAGCCCCGTTAGGTAGGCAAGATGGAGCGATAGGGACTGTTCCGAGGTCACCCATTGAGCTGAGCTATATGGCAAAGTGGGAATTTGATTCAAACTCTGTGTAGTTTAACTCTGGCACTATTTACTTGACCTTTCTGGCTCAGTTTAGCAAACACTCAAATCTTCATAACCGTCACAACACCCATATAGGGAAGTCGCTCCCTAGGAGGAAAAATGGCGGCCTTGGGGATTTTTTTTTAGTTCAGAGAAAAGGTAACTAAGAGATGGGATAGTAGAAGACAACACATATATATTGGCTCCCAGTACGTTTCCAAGCACAATTCAAAGTGTTGGTGCTGACCTTTCAAGCCCTAAACGGCCTCGGTCCAGTATACCTGAAGGAGCATCTCCACCCCCATCATTCAGCCCGGACACTGAGGTCCAGCTCCGAGGGCCTTCTGGCGGTTCCCTCCCTGTGAGAAATGAGGTTACAGGGAACCAGGCAGAGGGCCTTCTCAGTGGTGGCGCCCGCCCTGTGGAATGCCCTCCCAGCAGATGTCAAGGCAATAAACAACTATTTTACTTTTAAAAGACACCTGAAGGCGGCCCTGTTTAGGGAAGTTTTTAATGTCTGAAGCTGTATTGTTTTTGAGATTTGGTTGGAAGCTGCCCAGAGTGGCTGGGGAGACCCAGTCAGATGGGCGGGGTATAAATAATAAATTATTATTATTATTAACTCTCCAACATGCTAACTCTCCAATGGCTTGACTTCATCTAAGAAGCCCCACACTTCCACTGTCTCCCAAGGCAGATGGATTGCCAACCATGGTAGAATTTAATAAAATTACGCATGGAGAAAATGGATAGATATATTTCTCTCTCTCTCTTGCAACACTAGAACTCTCAGACATGCAATGAAACTGAATGTTGGTAGATTCAGGACAGATAAATGGAAGTACGTCTTCATGCAGAATATAATTAAACTTTGGAACTCGCTGCCACTTGATGCCGTACTGGCCATCTTTGAAAGAGACTTGAAAAGAGGATTCAACAAATGTATGGAGGACAAGGCTGTCAATCTCTCTCTCTCTCTCTCTCTCTCTCTCTCTCTCTCTATATATATATTACCTCCACTGTCAGAGACAATATGCCTCTAAGTATCAGTTTCTGGGAATCGCAGGTGGTCAGAGCATCCTTGCATTCGTGTCCAGTTTCTTAGTTTCCACAGGCATCTGGTTGGCAACGTTGAGAACAATATGCTGGACCAGATGCTGAACCACGTTGTTGCGATGTACGGAAGCCCTCAGGAGTCAAACTGTATTTTAAGTAGAGCTCCATTCCAATTGCTGTCTTGCATCACCATAAAGCAGTCTTCTTAACATCCAGGAATCAGCACACACAGGCAGGATTGCATACAAAGCGGGGACGTCTACCTAGAAGAGATAGGGGGAAGCAGGTTCTGGCACCTGCCAGCCTTGCCCATAAGTTTCTCTGTTTGTATTCTGTTTCCTTGAATAAAGAATCAACTTTACGGATCGTCTCTCAGTCTCCGTGCAAACCTGCAGCTGAACCAGACCCGTCCCAGAGCAACTTATAAAATACAAAGCCTATTTTTAACAAAAATCAGAAAGTACAATACAAGACCTAGGACCCACGTACCTACGGGACCGCCTCTCCTGGTATGCCCCGCGGAGGACCTTAAGGTCCACAAATAACAACACTTTGGAGGTCCCGAGCCTCAAGGAGGTTAGATTGGTTTCAACTAGGGCCAGGGCCTTTTCATCACTGGCCCCAACGTGGTGGAATGCTCTGTCACAAGAGACCAGGGCCCTGTGGGACTTGACATCTTTCTGCAGGGCCTGCAAGACAGAGCTGTTCCGCCTGGCCTTTGGTTTGGACTCAGTCTGACCCTTATGTTTCCCTCCCCTTATGGCCTTGATTTATCGGCTACTTTAAAATGAGGCTGCATTTTAAATTGAATTTTAACCTGTATTTTAAATTGCCCCCCTTCCCCCCATTATGTTTTTACTTTAATTTTATTGTTGTTAGCCACCCTGAGCCCAGCTCTGGCTGGGGAGGGCGGGGTATAAATAAAATTCATTATTATTATTATTATTATTATTATTATTATTCCTAAAAAGTTCAATGCCACAATAAGACAGGCAACAGTTAGCTCTAACCCAACCCCACCAAAAGATGGGCAACCCAGAATTGGGTACCTTAACTACCAAAGGCCTTAGTGTACTAAGATGTCTCAACATTGTCATGGGGGGGGGGGCACATTTCCCTAGGGACAGCATTCCACACACGGGGGGGGGGCACCATTGAAAAGTCCAAGTAAAGTTTGTTGCGCAGCTACAACTTTTCAAAGAGGTTTTTTTAATATAAAAAAGACAGCTTACTCAGGGGAGTGGGGGAAATGGCTCTATGATGTCACAGAGGCTAGCCAATCAGAGCTGTGCGCAGGTGGCTTTTGCTGGAAACGCAGCAGAATTGAGCTCGATTTTGTAGGTAAGATGGCGCAGGTCTCCCCCCAACAGCTTCATGGTGGCTTGACAGAGCTAATAATAGCCTTGCGTGCCCTGAAAACAACAATGTTAATGAATCCCACTAGGCAGGAAGTTCCCATTGTCTTCCTGATACGCAACAGCTGCCCACCGGTTCTTTTGTTAAAATGAAACATCATCTTTCATAACACTGCCGTCTGGGGGAAAGGGGCTTATGTTTCTCTTTGTCCTCTGGCAGCCTTGCGTGTTGGACTCAGATAAAACCAGGAAGTGAGGAAACAAAGACAATTGTGACACTGAAAAGAGATGGAGGGGGGAGAGAATGGCTTTTGGTTTGGTTCTCCAAGATTTGCATATAAATTCCAGCGTGGGTCTCATCAGAACAGAACCAAATTAAGAATTCATTAAACACATGGAGAATCGAAGTAGGAGGTTTAGGGAGGAACTCATGGAAGATAGAGCAAGCTTATTGTCTTGTGCTCTGGAGGGTAGGACTCGAACCAACGGATTCAAGTTACAAAAAAGGAGATTCTGACTAAATATCAAGAAGAACTTTCTGATGGTAAGAGCTGTTGGATTGGATTCCCTTGGGATGTTGTAGACCTCCTTGGAGGTTTTGAAGTAGAGGTTGGGTGGCCGTCTGTCATGGATGCTTTAACTGAGATTCCTGCAGTTCTACGATTCTATGGGGTACATTGGCAGGACACATGATACACATGTAGAAGGTCCCAGTTTTCAGTCCCTGATAACTCCAGCTAAAACGATCAGTTGGCAAATATGACAAGTCCTCTTCCAGAGACCTTGGAGATCCACTTCCAGTCAGAGTAGACAATGTGGACTATCATCAGCATCATCAAACCTTTTATTGGCATCACATACATACATCCAAAACAAATCAACACAGAATTACCACTTCCCCAGTGGCACAAAACATTTGCTAAAAGAAAGGAGGCAGAGCAGTCTATTGTCACATCTCTAGGTCTCCAGGGAGATCAGACGTCTGCAGTGCATTTCGATGACAAAAAAACCAAATAGAGATATTTAGCCACTAACTTGGTGAGCTCCTGATCATTCCCCAGTAATAGAAAATGTATGACCTCCGACTCTGGTTTCCATTTGGGGATACAAAGTTGATCTAGAAATTGCTGATGGAGACCAGCATATAGTTTACAATTGAGAACCATATGTGTAAGGGTTTCCACCAGGTGGTCTTCACATGACCAAGTTCATCATCATCATCATCATCCAATCCTTCATCCAAAGATCCCAGGGCAGTTCACAGGATAAAGTTACAAAATTTTGTTGTTTAGTCGTCTTAGTCGTGTTCAACTCTCCGTGACCCCATGAACCAGAGCATGCCTTGGAAACTCTCACTTTTCTTCTCAAAGCTTCTCCTTTTTTTATGTCCATGGAGTTTTCTTGGCAAAATGCTGGAGTGGTTTGCCAGTTCCTTCTCCAGGTGGATCACATTTAGTCTAAACTTTCGGCTATGACCTGCCCGTCTTGGGTGGCCCTGCATGGCATAGCTCAGAGCTTCTCTGAATTATTCAAGCCCCTTTGCCACAAGGCAGTGATCCATGAAGGGAAAAATTACAAAATAAGAACACGCAAAAAATTCACGAAAACATTTTCGTCCTAAGGTAGGGGAAAGCATTCTGCAAATGGGGAGACCCTTACGAAAAAAAATGCACCAACAGATGTGGAAAGGTGAAAAACTGAATTTAAGATGAGGATAAAGGTGCAGTGGAGGGAAACCATAATGGACAGATCCCTATTCATGACCCACCAAGACAAATGCAATCTGTGGGTAATGTATTGCTCCCAGGTGGAGCTGGAAAAAAATATGTTTTTCCCCCAGCTTGCTTGATGCTGCAAAAAGGAATGGCTGGATCTGGCTTCTATTGAAGGCCTTTGGGACAGCGCCTCTGGCTGGCTAAGACCTTGGAGAGTTCCTGCTTATGCAGCTGGAGAAGCTAGTAGCTAGTCTGAGAATATATAAAGCAGTTCCTTATATTCTTGGGAAGATTGTCTTGCAAATTTCGTACTGGTTTGACCTGCTATCATTCTTGTTTCTGATATCATTTCCAGCTAAGGACAAAACAAAGCCGTGCTTTCCGCGATTGCAACGAATAAACCGGGTTGCCAGCCAGAATAGATGAAAAGCAGGAAATGGTGTCTGAAAAATGTATTTCTGATAAATTTCCAGTCTATAAACATGGGAAGGGAAAGGCCAGCACAGTTCCAATTTCAGCTCGCTCTTCTGAAATCTTGGGCCATGCAATGATCTCCAAATTGGCCCTCCATGGGGAACACACATAGACACATCTCTGGCAAGCTACAGAGGATATTGTGGAACTCGAAGGAACTGATGGATTTTGTGACAGGCCAGAGCACCACAATATGTGCCGATGTTAGCACAGAATTTGGGAGAAAGGATCATAGCTGATTTGGGCTTGAACCATCACAGTGCTTCCAGTTTACAGGGCAATTGGGAACCAACAATGGCAAAGGGCAAAGTGACCTCTATAGCCAGCAAGTGTCCTGGGAAAACCGGGACAGCTCGTTTTTATCATGCGAAAGCATGGTGGCCATTGTGGGCACTGTGATCTCATGGAATTTCACAGTGAGATCTCACCTTGAAAAAGCTCTTTCTTCGAGGCTGTGATCTCACGAGGTGCCCCAAAATGTGTGTTTTGGGGCACCATGCTCGCCCTGAAAAAAAAGAGTGTCTTTGGGACTCCATGATCTCGCACACGTCATGTGACTGGTGTGGCAGCACAACTGGGAAGACACAGGTCACTGGTTGGGCCCTGGTTCAGGCTGGATCACTCTAGGCCCAGCCCAACCTGTGCCCTGAACTGAGTCAGAGGCCATGGATTGCCCTAGGATAGATCAGCAACTGTGATGGCCTGGGACTCAGGCTCGGACTCTGAACCAGAGGAGACTCAGTCTGCACCGGATCCTTTGTCTCAGGCATCATCTGAACCAAGTCTGGGGCCTGATCCTGAAGAGTCCCAGTCTGCACAGGTTCCCCTGCAACAAACACCAGCTGGGCCGAGTCAGGGGCTTGAGCCTGCCCTGGCTCCAGATGCAGGGATGACCTCGTTGCCATCAGCCGGGCCATCACTTACAGCTGCTCCACTACCGGTTGGGTCAGGGGAGGCTGAGGTGGCCCCTGGGTCTAGTAACCCACCGACGTCTCCTGAGCTGGAAGACTAAGGTCTGAGAGAAGGAGAGACCTGAGTACTCGCAGGAGGAGTGCTCACCTTCGGGCGAGACAGGGAGATGAGTTGCCGGGGGATCAGGACCGGCTGCTACCCCGACAAAGATAAAAGGCTGTCAGATCCCGCCCCAGGTTGCGGGAGCAACATTGCTGTATGCTAGATCCTGTACCTGTCCTTGCCTGGTTTCCTGCCTCGTATCCTGCCTTGGCCCTGTCTGACTGACTCCCAGCAGATCCTTCAGATTCTGGTCCAGTCCTGGACTGCGTTTCACGGGTTACCCCCAGGACCAGCACAGCAACGAATAGGGAGAAGGAGATTATGCAGGCAGGACTTTGTTTAATTAGGGCTACAGTGGTACCTTGGTTTTCAAATGTAATCCATTCCGGAAGTCCGTTCGAATTCCAAAATGTTTGAAAACCAAAAACTGAAAGCGGAAGCCTCAAAATTGAAGCCTCAATATGGAAAACTCAAAACAGAAGCTGCGTTTCCTTTTCAATTTCCAGGGCCTGTTCGAAAACCAAGGCGTTTACTTCCTGGTTTTTGGTGTTCGAGTTCCGAAACGTTCAACTAAAGAGGCTCTCGAAAACCGAGGTACTACTGTACTTTAAAATGAAGCCATTTTAAAGACAGGATCTTAAAAACCTTAAGAAACAAGTTCTCAGCAGGGAATAGAGGGATCTGTCTGTTTTTGTTCTCTTCTGTTCCCCACATGTCCTTGTCATCGATTCATTCTCTCCCATTTCCTTTCTTTCCCCTTTTATTTTTCTAACCTTTTGGCAATTATTAACTATAAACAACAAAACTCTGCCCCTCCCCCCAAAAAAACCCTTCAAATCATAATATTTTGCATTCTGCCCCATGTTTCAGAGATGGAGGGTGGGTTGGTATACCACCCACTAGAGGTCAGGCACAATCCAAACCATCAATAGTTTTGAATTCACATATATGCTTCATGCAGCATGAATTAGGCAAGTTCACATTAGCACGTGGACCAAAGAGAATTCTTGCTCCATTCCTGTTTGTTGACAACTTGAAATATATATATATATATATATATACACACACACACACACACACACACACACACACACACACACACATAGGCTTTTTAATACTTGCTGACCAGCTTCTATAATGCATGCAGATGGAACAAGGAGGGATTTATTCATTCACTTTGCCATTTGGAAGACAAAAAGCTCCCTCATGGCACAGGGAAAATGGAGGAAAACATGCTTGGCAGAGATGTGGAGTTTTTCAAGGCTATTTCTGGGAAGTGTTTGCAACTCTCTGCTTAGAACTGACTGCTGCAGAACACTGACTGCTGTCTGCCGAAAATGCATCTTTTGGCCACGTACAATTGGGAAGGGTGTAGAATGAAGGACTGAGGCGGTAGTGAAAATTTGGCTCAAATGCACTATCGGAGGAAGTTCAGGGTTTGTTTCTTTTAAAACTTCCCTCCCAGGCTGACTGATGATGTTTTCGGGTGCGTTCAAACGTGAGGAATACTGCATTAGTTTTCCTGATCAAACCTTGATGCTAGATTACTGTAATGCACTATTTGTGGGGCTGCCCTTGGGTCTAGTTTGCAAAGTCCAACGGGCACAGAATTCTGCAGCCAGACTGCTTCAGGTTGAGAATGTGGGACCCCTTTGTTAAAACAGCTGAACTGGCTGCCCATTTACTATTGAGCCAGGCTCAAGGTATTAATTGTATTAATTAACAAACCAAATAACTTAGGTCCAGGGTGCCTCAGGGACCACCTGAACGCTTACACCTCAGCTCAAGTGTCTGAGATCATCTGCAGGAGTGTCTTTGGTCATTCCCCAGGTTGGGGAGGCTTGCTAGACAACAATGAGAAATGGCGCCTTTAGCGTCATTGGCCCAGTCCTGTGGAACTCTCTGCCACTAGAGATTCAACGGGTGCCTTCTGTACCAACTTTTAAATGCCTGCTGAAAACTTTTCCATTCTGACAGCCCTATGAATGCATCCCCCAACATGGCTTATTGATGTTTACTTTAAAATATCTTTTTGCAGAACTGTCAAAACTGACATACAAGCTATGGGACAAGGATAACTGTGACTTTAACGATGAATGGGAACCCCTTTACAAAGTATTTGAAGACGCAACAAAGCGAACTGGACTCCTTGGCTGGTTTTGAATAAACATTCACAAACTTTTTATTGATAATTATCAGCTAAATAGTTTGAGGATCTATACAACTGTGTAACATGCAGAAAACAGCATTTTTAGAGAAATCAAAGACTGGAACTGAGGGAAGTCGGGGGTGGTGGTGGGTGGGTTCTGTGGGGGGAGGGGGGAGGGAGGAAAAATGGGGTAAAATAAGGACAATATGTTTCTGGGTAATATGTTTTGTTTTAATTTTGAATAAAAAAGTAATTAAAAAAATATCTTTTTGCTTTTAACTTGTTTTTAACTTTGTATGATATCATTGCTTGGCTTTACGTTTTTATATTGTTGTAAACCACTGTGATATATATATATTTACGATACAGGGGTATATCAATATTTTCATAATCAACAAACAAATTATAATGCTAGTGCTTCTGTCCTGTTTTTTGTTCTTCCTTTCACAGCGCGGTACCATAGCTGTCAAATGTCCCTTATTTGAAGGGACAGTCCCTTATTCCAGCGCCATGTCCCACTGCTGTCCCTTATTGATGGATGTCCCTTAAATGTCCCTTAAATGATGTCCCTTAAATTTCAAAGGAAGCAGCTCCTCTCCCTCCCTCCCTGCCGGCCAGGGAGGAGGGAGGCTCCAAGTGTGTTGCTTGGCTGCGTTGCTCACCCAATAAGAAGTCTAAGAACAATGGGGGGTGGAGCTTGCATGCCTTGTGTGTGGCTAGTTAATGCAAGCTGAGGGGTTTTTTGAATGCTGGACGCCATTTTGTTGCATGTGCTGCTGTAACTTTGAAGTGCAAAGCCAGGCCGGGGAGCCATCTTAAGTTGAGGCTGCATACGCCTTGTGGTGCATGTGATTCAGATTACAAAGTTGGTTGGACAGTGTTCTCGAAGCTACCCAGCATGAATTTGACCAGATTGCAGGAGGACAGGAAGACTGGAGTGCCTGGAACAGGTGAGGCTGCAGGCCCCTTATTTTGGCTGCTGGTCCCTTATTTTTAAGGCTGCTGGTCCCTTATTTTCAAATCTGTAAGTTGACAGCTATGCGCGGCACCTGTTGCATTACAAACTGTAGCAATCTGACCGACATGCCAGCTTGTTGTTCTAAAGTTAATGCACACAAACTTTAACCAGGTACAAGGTAATAGGAAGCCCCAGCAACCAAATATTTGCCTCACTTACTGAACCCTGGAGAACCGATGGCAGAGTGTGCCAAGCCATGGGCAGTCTGCCAGACTGTGGCCTAATTTCTCTGGGACTTACCCAAACTGAAATCAGTACAGTTACTTTGTGGGAGAGAAATTCTTTGGGAAAGAAACTTCTCTAAAAAAGCAAACAAAAAACCCCCAAAACCGCACAAAAGGTCCCTTTTGAGGCCTAAGAGTGTGAATAACCAAGCAGCCTTGACTTTCCTCTGGAGTAGAAAAAGCTCAATGCTTTCTAGGGGGATCTTGGTGCCTTCGGAACAAAACAAGACAAAAACAATCCCTTTGGCTCCCTTTTCTCTTCCAATCCCTGCCATTTCTGAAATCTTTCTTTGGCGTCTGCTTCGAGAGACGGTCTGTGGGGTTGGTTCTTAATCTGTACAGAAAACTTATTTTCCTTCTTTGTAGGGGGAAAAAATCACCTCAGACACAAGAAGTGAAAGCCAAATGGATGAGGAATTTGACTCGGTCACTTGACATTACAAAGACTCAACAGAACAGAAGTTCAAGAGTGTCCATATTATGCCCACACACCTTTCTAGATGCCAATATCCAAAGGGGGGGGGGTTGTTGTTGTTGCTGTTCTGAGATTCTTCCCTGCTCTTTGATATCTACGTTGCTCACTCGGAAACGTTGGGTGGTGTCTCAACTAAGTTTCATTCAAAGTAGGCGCCTTGTAATGGAGATCCTAGCCCAATGGTTCTACTCTGAGCAAAAGCTAGTTGGAGGCCATCCATAGCTTTCAAAGCATTTAAATAGAAAGACCAACCGTGCAAAATCTTTGCGCTATTTAAGATTAGCCAAATGAGAACCTGAAATTTGTTCGTAAGGATCCTCTTTTCATGAAAAATGTCTTGCGCTTGGATGATTCCTGCCCCCGCACTGGAAAACTTTGCAGTATTTGGCTCATTGAAGGAGGAAGATGCCATTGTAAGGTAGAGGCTAACGCTGATAAATAATATTTTGCCTTCATCCATCAGGCCATGTCTCACATGGGAAAACACCTCCTCGGAGCTGGCAAGCTTCTGTTACCAGAAATGGAGCTAACCGTGTTTCTCTCGGCCGTCCAAGTCTATCTTCTTCCTCTGCATTCTTCAGCAAGTGAACAAGCAGGCGGGAGAGAACTTATCTGCAAATTGCTTTTCAGACTCTTCCCGGAGTTGTGAAACACCTCCTCCTTATGCTTTGTAACTATTGCAGCAATTCTACTCCACCTTTGGACCATGAGTGGGAAACCTCTGGCCCAGGGTCGCATTGTGGTCCTCCACATCTCTGTATCTGGCCCTCAGAACCCTCCCCTCACTGGCAAGGTGCCCTTGAACTCTGATAACGTCCCTTGCTTATCAGGACAGAGAGATGGCTATGTGATTGTGGGCAGAAGCTGGCTTTCTGTTCAAAGGTCAGAGACCTTGCTCCGAGGTCGATTCAATAACTTAGGCAGTCCACGTAATGAGCACTCACACTTTGCACTGTGGGTGCCCTTTGTAGGGTTGCATGTGGCGCTCCAGACCCCAGGGAACTTACTGGTTGTATGGGCTGATCTGCCTCTCAGTGTTATTCTTTGGAGGTTCACGCCCAGCCTCAGTTAGTCAATTTACACTGCCGGGAGGTGAAGCCAGTTGCATAAATAGGGGGTGGAGCCAACAATAGCCAGGCACAGGAGCTTCTAGGTTGTTACCCAGGAGCCTCCCATTTTCAAATGCACCTCCTTAATTTGAGCTGCACCAATGATCCCCCTTATCCATCACTTTTAGGCCTGAAAATTGGTTGCCCCTCTTTCCCCAGCGCCTCCATTTGGGCTCCATGTGCCCCAGAAAGGCACTGCCAGTAATTGTGGACAAAACTGAGTTGGAAAGACCAGTGAGTTCTGATTCACTATAAGGAGGCTCTCTGTGAAAGAATGGAAGAAAAAGGCAGGAGATTTTTTTTTCTGGCACGGTGCTGACACCAGTTGTTAATATAAGAGCACCCAGGAAGGGACGGAATCAATGAATCGCTGGTGTCAATAAGAGAAGTCTGAGCAATGGCTTTACAAGGCAGCAGGGAGAAATCAGAGTAGACGTCTGAGAGAGAGAGAGAGAGAGAGAGAGAGAGAGAGAGAGAGAGGCCCATCATAATTCTTCAAGAACTGAGCACATTAAGCAATGGATTCAGCCTGCCAGGAAAGGAAATGAATCAGTCCCAAGGCAAAAATATGCAAGGCTAGACGGGCATCTGTTACGGAATAATCAGATCAGCTCCAGCTGCAGTGAAAGTAGAGAGAGGCAAAAACGAACCAGTTGTTTTGTCTAAGCCAAACAATGCTGCTTGAGAGATTACCGGGGCCGGGGCTAGGCCTGCAGAAATGGCGTCTGACGCATTCAGCAGCGCAGCCCGCAAGGTGCTTGGGTAAGAACCCCAGTTTTTCTGGGGAAACAACACCTGGCAAGGAACCAATCCATGCAATAGAAATGAGTGCAGCAGAATGAGCAGGGTTGCAGCTGGGCTACAGAGAGAAGAAATAGGCCAGACCTTTGCATGCAGCTGGGTGAAGGACAATGCACAAACCCAAATGGTAGGGCTTCTTAGAAAGGTGCGGAAATGCAGTTCTGAAAGCTCCCCCTACACTAGAAAACAAGACGATGCCTCCTGCCTCTGGTGTAGCATAAAGGAGTGCAGCAATTCCTTGAAAGCCACAATCGAATCTTTGTTGCTGAGGAACTAGATTTCTTCTTGCAGAGGATTTCTATGTGGCAGCGGCGGGTGAGGGCAGCATTTGAAAGTGGCATACCATTTTTAAGCCTTCCATGGTTGGAATAGAGGCACTGTCAGCACTAACTGGCAGAGGTGCTCTACGATCTCAGGCAGGGAAGATCACCAGTCCTTCCCGGGGATTGAACCTGGAAACTTCTCCATGCAAGAGGCTCTACCCCTGAGCTACAGCTCTCCTGCAAGGGGATCCTCCCTGGCAAAGTGCCCCCTCCAAAGTGCTAATGGCAGCGTTGGTGGCAGTGGCAGGGGACACGAGACAGGCAGCTGTGAGTCACCGGGTCATTACAATTTCTCACCCACAGCTTCTCTTTCTTCTCCGTTTTTGCACCTAAACCAACTCACCACTTTGGATTGTTCTCTGAGACATGGAAGGGAGGAAAAAGGAAAACATTCCAGAATCAAATCAGAAACCAGGATGGCTTCTAAGTGAAAAAAGATTTAGAAATTTGGTCAAATTTGAAGCTTTCACTGCTGGGCCGTATCGCTGCGATAAAAATGAATGTATTGCCTAGAATGTTGTTTTTATTTCAAACATTGCAAATTGTGGACAAAATGGATTGTTTCAAGAGGTGGCAGAAAGACATTTCTAGATTTGTCTGGCAGGGCAAGAAGCCTAGAATAAAATTTAAAATATTAACGGATGCAAAGGAAAGAGGTGGATTTGCCCTGCCAGACCTTAAACTTTATTATGAATCAGCAGCTTTTTGCTGGTTGAAAGAATGGCTGCTTCTTGAAAACACTGACATTTTGGACCTAGAAGGTTTTAACAATGTATTTGGATGGCATGCATATTTGTGGTATGATAAGGTCAAAGCACATAAAGCATTTAAAAACCATATTGTCAGGAAAGCGCTGTTTAATGTTTGGATAAGATATAAGGATTTATTAGAAAACAAAACTCCAAGGTGGCTGTCACCAATGGAAGCGAAAGCCTTGAAAAAGCTCAATATGGAGGTCAAATGGCCGAAATATTGGGAAATTTTGGAACAAGATGGAGATAGACTGAAATTGCAGAGTTTTGAAAAACTAAAAAACAAAGTGCGAGACTGGCTTCATTATTTTCAGATAATGGAGGCATTTAAATTGGACAAAAAAATTGGCTTCCAGGTGGAAAAATCAAAATTAGAAACTGAACTGTTAGAACCCAAAACTAAAAAATTGTCAAGAATGTATAACTTGC